CTAATGAATTCGGTTAAGGTAAGTCAACTAAGTAATGCAGTTCAAAATCTAAAGGAATATATTAGCCAAAATAGTATATTTAAAGAATCTATGCAGCTTTTAAATACAAGATTCTATACTTTATTCCTTTGGCCAATGATACTATCAACTCATAAGCCACCAGAGAAATTCTTAATAAAGGAATCTAATAAACCGCATGAACAAGAAGCTTTTCCATCTGTTGTTTTTAAAGAGGAAAATTATAACTTTACTCAAGATAAGAATCAAAATGCTAAAAAAAAGAAAAGAGGAAAAGGCAAGAAATTTGCAGATGATGTAATAGATTTGCCCAATAATAACGATCATGATGAAATCACCCTAATAGAATTACATAATTTTGAAGAAGAAGAAGGCTGTATTTTGGGTCTAGATTAAGATTTGTCATAAAGTTTAAAAAAATATTTTAATTGAATGGAATCTTATATTGAGTGAGCCCACTTCATTTTTATTGGTAAATAAATAAATGCTCTAAGTGAAGGGAATATTATCATTTGATGTGTGTGCCGTTGATTACTTAGGAACAAATTATAAACCTAACAAAGAATATCATAAATATTTGTAAAACATGTGAAATATGCATAAAAAATTAATCAGAGGTCAAGGAAAATTTAGATTAAAATTTAAAAAGTTTCATATTTTCTTACATTTTATTTAATGTAAGAAAATTTTAAAATGTATCTAATTACATACAAAATATAATTAATATCAAACATTACATATCAATATAATTTTGAAATTAAAATTAATGAAAATTTATATATATTCTTCTCACTGCGTTATATAAAATTTCGTCGAAATCCCGCCAAGTTATGTTTTCATAAAACATTTTTCGTGGGGAAATGCGTTACGACTTACGCATGTCGCATACCCTCCCGCGGCACTGTTGACTGACAGTGAAGGGTTATGTCATATGTGGGACTCGCTGCTTAGCATACCCACTAAAACCCCACGACGTCACCAGCAATCGTGTGTTCTCACTACATAGTATAAAACAAAGTCATAGTTTAAAACTACGCAACGGATTTTGATGCGGTTTTTTTAATAGATAGAGTGATTGAAGAGGAAGGTTTTATGTATTTTTGAGGTTTCTAATGTGATGTTGTAAATAATTACAATTTTTTTCGCTTACATTGCAAACGCAGGCTGAACCCTACGAGATTAATCAAAATATCCAGGGCAGTATTGAACAAATCAAAACTACTGGATCGATTTCAATCATTTTTTCAGTTAGTGACATAGGCTATATATTTAATACCCGTGCGAAACCGGAGCGGGCCGCTATGTTTTCATATACAACGTTCACAGTTTTTCTGTGGTGTATTTAGTATCAGCATTGCACCCGTGCGAAGCCGGGGCGAGTCGCTAGTGTTTTCATAATACACAAACTAACATTAATAATGTTGTTGATTGGATATTTTTTAATTTTATTTTAATTTGCGTTTAATTACATGGAACATACCCTTTTTTTAGGAGAGGTAACACTCCTAAAAAAGGGTAGGTACATATTTATATTTTCTTGCCGAGCTAAAGTCTAGTCGGCCATTAACCCTTGACTTAAATAGTATTTTCTAAATATATACACTCTCGCAGGATAATTAATATACTTATAATAGTAAATACTCACGGTCCACGGAAGAGCCACTTAGCACATTTTGCCGCGTAAATATACCTAAAAACCCCCCAATTTTTTTTGTAGGTACTTCGATTTTAGAGGTAATTTCAAATATAAATTTAAAATACATTCATATGAAATAGCTAGAAAACTAATAGACAAAAACATTGTTTTATCTCCTCTGTACACATTAACATGGCCTTAGTAAATAAACGTCCATTTGAATTTGATTGATTTGAGTGTACCTATCATTAAACAGTTTGAGTTTAAAATTTTGTATTAGGTACACCTATAAACTTAAGCTAAGAAGAAGGCTTATTTATATGGATATAAAGTAAAAGTAATACAATGTAATTTTTTAAGTGGGACTTTACCATACCTATGCCTTAGTTTGATACAGACGAAGTTATATCTTGTCTTAACTTTTTTTCATTAGTTCCGAGTAGGGATGTGACATTCTGCATAAAAAAAAATCGATTTTTTATTAATCGATTATTTTTGTAGCATGAATAATCGATTAATAAATAATCGATTTTTCTTAAAAAAATAATCGATTTTTTCCTAATTTTTGAATTAATTTCAAAATAAACACCTTAAATATTTTATTTTTCATAGTTTTTTAAATTAAAAATAAACAATAGAAATTATAAACACAAATTAACGTTTAAGAATAATCAAAATCGAAATTAACTTAACTCGTTTTGATAGATTTTGATAAATGCTGAGTGTATTCCTTTTCAGTAGCACATTGCAGTATTTTTGTTGTCTTTTTAATTGTATGTAGTCTTGTGCTGCTGAATAAATTTATTTTACTTTTAAATTGTAGTGTTCCATTTAAACTTGAGTTTTTGTAAAATTAACTGCTTTTATCATCCTTTTGATGTTTTACAAAAAAAATCAATGTATCGAGTATATCAATACATCTTCAAAGAATCGGATTCAATGTATCGCATTGTAAACAGCGTTGTGTATCGAATATCCCTAATAGTTCGAGGTCCGGGTTATAAAAGACCAGACATAATGTCGGGAGGTGGCAGATAAAAAATCGATTATGACTGATTTTCAATTATAAAAATAATCGATTATTTTAAATATAAAAATCGCGTAAAAAAATCGATTTTTACTTTTAAAAAAATCGATTAAAATCGATTTTTTTAATAATCGATTATTTTTTCACATCCCTAGTTCCGAGTATCTCTATATCGCAAGAACCAAAAGACTCAGTTAGGTAAATTATCTTTTAACGATTATATACCTAGCTACATAATCGAAAAAGTTATAGGTAATTTATATACATTTTGACTCAAACCAATAAATAATGAATGGAGATGTGAATTTTTTAGCTAGAATTAACGATTGAGATGTTTTTTCTTGTTTTACGAAAACTATGGCTCCGAAGAGCACGAAATTTGGATTTTTTTAAATGATTAAATAGCATATACATTATTATTTATTGGGCTTTTTAGTATTGTTGTCTTTTTTTCATTCATCGATATAGTTCAATAAATTATCGACTTATCACGGTTAATATACTGAAATCCGTCTTTGCTGCAACTTCAAGTCATTTGATATACAGCTTTCGAGCTAATGACCTTATTTCCCTTTCCTATCGTAAGTTTAAGGAATAAAAAAAAGGGTGCGTGTACTAAAGTCGGAAACACACTTACGTGTCGTGGCGTGTCGTGACGCGCCAGAAGCATATTTTAATATGATTAGATAGAACGTGTTGCGACACGACACAACATGCAAATATGTTTCTAATCATATTAAATGTATGAAACCAATAATGCTTCTGGCGCGTCACTACACGCCACGACACGTAAGTGTGTTTCCGACTTTATGTACGCGCGTAAGAAGTTATACGTCATTGGCGTTATTAAAAATAGTTTTTGATTGCATGCAAATAATTAATTACAATTAAATAATCAAAGACTAGAAAAGGAGTCATTATAGTCAATAAAGTTCAGTTTACATTTGAAAAATTAAATAAATAAATATTTATTATTATTCGAATGTTGTTTTTAAATTATGTCCAATGCCGTAGCATCTTCCGTGGGCAACTTCTTTCTGTTAATTTTGTGTCGCGGTGCGCGCGCATCGTAAAATTACACTCTCATGAATTTTTCATAACACGCCTTAAGTATAACTTCAAAAAAATAACAAGTAAGTAAGTTCATAATTTTCATTTCATTTCAAATATAATTTATGATTAAATATCCCTTCACAAGTAATCATCGCATTCGATTCTACTTATCAACTTTAGATTTTTTGGGTACATCCTATCTTGCAATCTTATTTGTTTAAAATCGTTTATTAAATAAACTAAATCGTAAAACTTATCATCATTATTACAATAAGTTCTATGTAATTGGAATAGAAAAAAGATATGCAATTGTTCCAACTTCAAAAAAAATAAAAAAAACTTCCAAAATAAAAAAATAGTAATAATATATTATACTAAACCTATGATAAATCTCCTTCTTCGGGTTTTTAAAAGTGCACTCTACCCTGTAACGCTGGCCATAGACGGACCGCATGTTGCAGTCGAGACCGACTGCTCTAGAGCTGTCGCGTTGAAGTCGTACACGACAGCATAATGCAGTCGGCTACGACTGCTTGGAGCACTTGTGTTCGACTGCAAAATAAAACTGATGCGAGTTCATTTACAAGATGGATTTCGATGAAGAAACACTGCTACTTGTACTACTATTACGCAAGCGTAGGCGTAGAAGACACCGTAGTATGTGGGTGCGTCCAATACTACAATCAAGAGAACAGCATGGAATATTTCATACTTTATATCCCCAGCTGAGAGAAGACACTAAAAAGTTTTTCAACTACTTTAGAATGTCCGTGGTTTCATTTGATGAATTAGTTAGTATTTTATTTTATTTGAGAGAGCGGCGCGCGGTCGGCAGCAACCGCTTGTAGCGGTCCGTGTATGGTGGGTCCGGCAGCTCTAAGCAGTCGACCGCACGGCGACTGCTCCGACCGCTCAGAAATTGGTCGTGCGGTCCGTGTATTGCGGATATGACTTTAGTATGGAAACTGCAGTTCGCCGTGCGGTGACCGCTTAGAGCAGTCGGTATCGGCTGCAACATGCGGTCCGTCTATGGCCACACTAAGACTTAAGTGAAAGTTGAAACTCAAACTCGTGAAGAATCGACTTCGAATTTTAAAGTAAGAGCTTTCCTACTCTGTGCCCTCACTGCCCTAGTTTTCTCTACTCTGTGGTTCTAGCCGTAATTATAATCTTTGGGGTTAGAGAACTTGGAGAATTTTGTTATTTATACTGAGTTAAATATTTTCTTCAAAGCATGAGATAAAAATATACATAAACTTCGGGAATATGTACGAATTAAAAGCATGTTCTGTATGCCTTAGTACAGGTGTGAAATTTGTGAATATAGATAGCGGTCCATTAAGACATGAATACAATCTCATTTCCGGCCTGAAGGTTTGTTTTGTTTATATTTTAATATTTTTTTATTAAGCATGGAAATGTGCAGCGGTGTTTAAAAATAATCTTAACATTAATATCGTGTTCAATTCTCCATAAAAGGAATTTAGAAGCTTGTTTATATATGCACTAACTAACTTAACATTTTCTGCTATAATTTTTGAGAATATTTTATATTTTGAAGAAGTAACACAGCTGGTATTGGTATAACCTCGGGGTTGCGAATTGCACATTTTACCTAACTACTACCATAGCTCAATTATCTGATTGATATAATGTAGGATTTTATATTCTTTTTCTACTCTAATTTTTAACTAATTTTCAGACAAATCCAGAAAGTGGTTTACCACACCATCTTTGCATTGAGTGTGCAACATTCATAAAAAAATTTATGAAGTTCAGAAATAAGTGTCAAAGAGCTTATTATACATTACTGGAAATTTTAAACACAAATTGTGAGGTTAGTAAGGTTTTAATGTATTGATTTTTTGTTTTAATTGATTTGTAATGCTTGTTTTGAGTTTATATTAATACTAAATTATTTATTTATCATAAACAAAGTTATGTTATAATTATCTAAATAAATTCTGTATATAAATGATTTATTTTAGTACCTGTTAAATGTTCATAATAGAGTTTTAGTAGTATGATTGGTTGTTTTCAGATCACTGAACAAGTTTTAAAAGCATTGAATAAACAAAGGCTTAAAATTAATCCTTCTTTATCATATTTGGCATCAAATAATCCAAGAGTAAAATATGAAGTTGTTAAATTTAAATGGTTAAAAGAAAGTCGGGTACCTTTAGAATGTAATAAAATACAAACATTGCACTATAGCACCTTATATGATGAAACTCCTCAAGAACAAATAGAAAATAAAGTAACTGAAGTGAATGAAACTAATGCATTCAACAATTTAGTGGATGAAACTGTATCAGACGATGATTATTTTAATGATAATTCACAAAAGAATGATGATGTTGATGGCTCCAACTTAGAGGAGGATTTTGCAGTTGTTATGCCAATATCTAGGAAAGAAGCGGAAGCTGTTGCAGAAATATATAAAATGTTGTCTCAAGGAAAGTTTCAGTGTAAAGTATGTGGGAACTCATATTACACAGAGGCTCGTTTAAAAGTGCATATGAGAATGCATGATACTGTAAGTCTTGTAAACTGACTATTACATTTTTATTTAATTACTTTTCAAGAATTAAAAAGACTTTGATTTTCAGAATATTTAAGGGATAGTCAAAATTTTGGAGTTCCACATAAATGTTAAGCCCAATTTTTAGAGATGTGTGTACTATTTAAGTTACACTGATATCTATTCGTCTCATCGCAATGTGATTTTGCACTAAACTTGCCTCTGAATCATAGCTTTAGTGCGCAATTATCTCTATTGTATTAAAAATATTTATTTATTTTTATTTATTGAAAATAAAAGTTTAATTTACATTTATTGTTGTATTTTCTTACCTGGTTTTGTATTTATCCCAATATTTATTTATTTTCAGATTTTGAGTGGAAAATATTTTTGTGAGCTATGTAGTTTTTATTACAAGACATCATTTCAATTGAAGACACATATTTCTGGGAAACATACATACAAGTACCTGTGTAAGAAATGCCCGGAAGTCAGTTTTGATAGGTGAGAAGTTTAAATAAATCTATTCATCATATTCATTCTTATGCTTAAAACATAGTAGGACTTAATGGTGTTCCATAGTCATTGAAGAACTTACTAGAAACAAAACAATGTCTTATAGATTTAGTTACATAATTAAGTAAATACATATAATATTGTTTGCCAAACAATAATAAAACTGTACTGTATGTCCCATAAATCTATGTTCAACATAACTCAGGGCATAGGAATAATTGAAAATAAGTAATATTTTTTTTTTTGTCTTCCGTGCCATCCTTTTATGTCACTTGACAACATTGCACAGCAATTTTTTTTTCACCACAGTCGAATAATTGGTTATAATAGTAGAAATAACATCACAGGGTGCATAAAACTTGTTTACATTTTTGTATGGCAATGATTTTAAAAATATGTGGCATTATTGTCACACGATTTTGTCTTGTCATTTGTTAAATGAATAATAATATTAGTATTATTCATATGCCGTTTAAGTTAATAGATGCATTTTGCTGAAGCAAATTGAATGAACTGAAAATTTAATGGAACTTATACCGTAGTAGGAATCAATTATTGGACTTGAATAAATATATTAATAATCCAATGGCGTTTCAACCGAAACCAAACCCAAAGACCCATTTAGTGTCTTGGTCTCAGATTGCATCCGTTTTTTCGATAATTTTTATTTGAAAGACAAGTAGGTGATCAGCCTTTTGTTTGACCCGTCATCGATTTTTGATTTTAAGACATGCCGGTATCCTCAGGATGTTTGTCTTCATTACTCACAATTTATGAAATTTCTATTGGTGCTGTGATTCCACACACAGGCACGAGGGTCGCACGCTAAAGCAAATACTACTCTTAATTTTGATTTAGTTAATTATATTGGACTTGAAGACGGGTAAAAGTTAAAATTATTATTACAGGACATCAGCAAAGTCACATTATATTTGGAATCATCTTAAAGACATTCCAAAGTCCAAACTTGGAAAGAGAAAAGCAAAAAATTACTCGCATTCTGCTCAAAAGAGGAAGAAGCTACCTTCGGATTTCCCTCTATGTTTGCCTGTTAGCCAAGAGGATCAATACAGACTTGTAAAGGAGCGACAGCAATCGAAGAATTACATAGAGTCGCCATTTAAATGTGAATTATGTTATAAAGGTTTTCGGGAACCGGCTACGTACGATAAACATATGAAGAAACATGACCCAGTATGTATTAAACAATTTTTATTGAAGTGAAACTTCTTTATCGACATATGGGAGAAATTTTGTAGCAAATCGTCACGTCAATTCGACACTTAATATTTTAATGACAATTAAATTCGTAAAATATCTTCCTTTTTCCGTCCCTCTAAGTATCGGAAATCTAAACTTTTATAAGTGTATAAATATGAACAACACTTAAAGATTAGTTTGCCACAGAAGTTTGCCTTCTGACATGTGTACTTTGTACACACACACTTGTTTATGTGTAGCGACACCTACAATAACTACGTTGACGTCATACTCTGAATTGCGCTATTCAAGTTATTCCAATATATACGTCTTCTCAACATTAGCTTTTGGGAAAGTTGGAAGTAAGACTGGTCGAGGATCCTTCCTTTAAGACAGAGCAACTAGCCTCCTCCACAGATGAGGTTTTCAGTTTGATTTTATAGGTCATATGCCTCACCTTTATAGGACTATGTAATTCCGTATATTTTCTAGATTTTAGTATTCAAATATGAAGGTGCAAATCTGGCTGTTCTTTTTAATTAAATAAATATTCATTATATGAATATATTTTTGTTTACGAGACAAGATTAAACTTAAACTTTTAAACCGCCTTAAAACCGAAGGAAGTTATCAATCCGACGTTTAAAAAGAGAGTATACTCCTCCCTCAAAGGCCGGCAACGCACCCACTAAAACGGGGAACATTGCTTGCGACGATATATGGGCGTCTCGTATGCCCCTCTAATCTATCCTATAAAAAACATAGCTTGTATTAGTTAATAGTTTTATTTAAAATACACTTACACTCATTACATTTAAGTCTTTAATAGAATTATTCTGAGTTACATACTTAAACCAAAACTGGTTAACCAATACTTAAACAAAGGGAGACAATATGTTCTACTTTGTGTCCCACAACTAATATATTTATTTATTTAGTTCTTTCCCAAAATAAAACGTTAACAAATTACTTAATAAAACGTTAAATGAAATAATTTGACCTTTATTTTTAATTCCAGGCGACATCAGGTCAATACCAATGTGACGTGTGCAAGGTGTACGTAAAAAATACAAGACAGATATACAAACATATGGCGAGGAGTCACATTCATTTGTCTAGATCAGGAATGCCCCCCTTCACATGTTTCTGTAGGTCAGGACTCATTTTTGTTATACATTAAATATTATTAATTGTGCAGAAGCACTAAGCTATCTATTTGTTAAGACTTTTAGCCCATTTTAGATTATTTCTTAGTGACTATAGAACCAATACAAAATGTTACTTTTAGTTCTACCAGTTGTGGCTTTAAGGCTAAGTTCACATGTGACGCGCGTTAACGGTCAACGCGCGATCAAATTTATAAAGAATTCAGATGACAAGCGCTAACGCGCGTTGCGACTTGTGAGAGCTCGTCAGTCTGTTCAGATAGAGCTTAAAAATGGAACGTGGAAGAAGCTATTATTTGTGTTGGTAATATTACAAAAAGTCTTCTTGAGAGTCGGTATCATTACAGAAAATTAAAACCAATTCTCCCATCCCGAGCACGTCGTTTAAAATTTTTATTTTTGTAGAAATTGAAACTATACCCAAATTGTTTTCGACTTCACAATTACTTAGTTAATCGAATTCAATATCTTGAGATTCACACACTTTGAACTGCATACGAAAGCAAGTCAAGTACAAAAAAGTACGATCGCGATAAAGCGCGCGCCCTACTGAACAGTCTAAGGAACGTTACGTCTACATTTCAAAGCGCCAGGTAACGATCATCTACGTCTAAGAATTAGTGCGTCCCGTAAAATAAAACGTTAACAAATTAGCGTAATAAAATGCGCTAAGGATGAAAATACACAGTGACCTTTAGTTGTAAAATCCAGGCGACATCAGGTTTGCCATCCGAACATGTGCCTAAATGTTCAAATTAAACTTAATTTCAAAAAATAGGACCAAAACGCTTCATAGACAAGATGGAGTCGCACCAGTCCTTACAACGTATCGATGTCCATGAATGCACGTTGACGTCGTGTTCTGTACGTGATGACTACATTTTTTAATTATGAAATTACTTATATTTCGATCTAAAATAATCTCATCTAATTAAACTACGAGTTAATATTAGGATTAGACAGGCGAAGACATGTTTACAGGCATGCGATGACATCGTCGATCCGACGAATCAGTGACCGTTGTCACGTGACTGTCAAAAAACAATATTTTTAATTATGCCTTTTTGATAATGATTATTTAAAAGTTATTTCACTTCATAATGCTTTTTTAAATCTGTTTTATGCAGATTACATTTAATAACACTTTATTTTTTAAGAATGGCCTATTGTAATTATAATTTCGCTTAACCTGTTCTAATAAAAATGTATAAATTTTGTTACAGAGGACAAGCAAAAATGCATTACAGATGGCATAAGAATGTTACGTATTCGTGCCCACATTGTAATAAAGAATTTGTGTAAGTATTTATTTAAAATAACACTTTAAAAGCTATGAAAATCGCAAACCCGTGCGTTTATATATCTGTTCTAGGTTCGATCCCGACGTTAAAGAAATGTGCCTCGTGCAATAATTCCTGTCAAAGATTATCCGCTCAGTTATAAAATGATTGTATTTTAACCGTCTACGTTATGTAACACGGCGTGTAGCCTAGGGGTTCTGGTTTTGATCCTGACGAAATTGTTTAGGGATAGGCACTGAATCATAAAAATCCAGTAGCGCTAAAATTTTTTAGGCCTTGGGCTCAGATTTGTGTGTCTATTTAGTCATCGTTTTTCTAATAGGCAAGAATGATCTGTGGTTCTGTGGCTGCATATTGGCTCTAACGTTTTCTTTTAGTGTCCTTTGTGAGCACATCTGGGGATCAAACCTACGACATCGGTGGATAAGTGTGGCACGTTGGAGCCTTAGGCCTGATAGATTATAATTGTTTATGTATTTTAGAAAAGCTTCAACCCGACTTACGCATATTCGCATAAAGCATCCATCTACATTTGTATGCACGATATGTGGACACAGTTTTGTGAGCGAATCCGGGTTGTATTGCCATAAGAAGATCGCACATACAAAAGAGGTAAGTGTTAATTAATTTTTTGATGCCAACACTGCGGCTTAATCGCTCTCAATAAGAAAAATTTCCTATAGTTCTTTCAAAGAATTTTTGTCGTAATTTTTTTAAGTATTAAAATTTTTTCGCCAATATAGGTATATCATCATAAAATCGGTTTAAATTTTTTTGTATTTTATTTAATACGATTTATCGCGTTTTATATTAAAGAACTAGTAAGTTAAGATTTCCCAGGTTATACGAAGTACCAAAGACAAAATAATACTTTGAACAGATATTCAGGGTGTCGGTTTTCTGTGATTGTGTGCGGGTGTTGGATTTTTGTAACACCGCGCATCATAAAAATTTACTCTCATCATTTTTCCCTAACGCGCCAAAAGAAGTATAACTTCAACAGACAAATCTAAGGTAAAGCTGATAACGGCGTGACAATCACAAAATAAGAAATTTTTACCAAATTATTCGAAACGTTTGAACCACTCTGTGAGACATGGCTGTTAAAGTCCTTCCTACGACCTGACGCCTGACCTAGGTTACGTCCAAGATGTCTAGTTTATTGACGAGCATGTACAGTAACCATAAAGGCGGAAACATACTACCAAAACGCGACGCTACACCACGCCATCCGATGCATGTCAGTACTTATCAATCCCATATATTTAATATGGTCAGATGCACATAGACAACACGCCATGTGATCACACGCGGTAACATCCAATCGAATTGGATCGGCGTGTTGTGGATGTTGTGATGATGACGTCATGCGTCAGTCTTTCGAGTTTTTGACACGAATGTCAATTTATATACTTAGATATTTTTGGATTTATTTGGCGAAATGAACGACGAACAATTAATTGAGTTGGTGAAACAATTTTCTGTTTTATATGACATCAGATTACGTCAATACAAGGACAAAAACAGGGAGTTAGGATGTTGTTAGTTTAATACAAATAACCTGCTAATCAATTCAGTTTATTAGAAAAATACAGGGTGGGCCAGAAAGATTTGCGAATTTGAAAAATATAATAAAAAAACTAAATACAATACACATACAATTTTTTATTTCAATTAAAATAGACATCTGGGAAATTTATTTCTTAAAAATAACATCATCCAGGTGTGCACCATTGCGCTGCAAACATTCCTCGAATCTGAACCTCAAATTGGTAAAAACTTGCTGGCACATTGCGCGGGGAATAAATCAGCTAAATGACTTCTGAATTTGCAAGCGTGTCGTGGTGTCGCATGTTGGTAATGTGCACGATGGACATCGGGTGTCAACACGACACGTCGCGTCGCGTTTTAGTAGTATGTTTCCGCCTTAAAGAAATTCCTACATCAAAACATGCTATACTTTCTTTTGTTAGACCAAAGGGCGCTTCAAACATAGATGGACCTAAAAATTAATAATAATAATTAAGTAGTGCCAATCCTATGTAGGTTTTGGCCTCGGGTTGCATCCGTTTCTTTGATCATATTTATAGACAAACTGCCTTTTGTGACACACGGCGTTTGGAAGACAATTCTTACTTATGTTTCGCTTAAAGGTATGAGAAAGTTTAAATTCATTTAAAAAGATATTAGTCCAAAGCCATTCGAAGGCACGACTTACGGCTGCTATAAAAAATAAGTGGACTTGAACATTTCACGTATATCTCTAAAAAAAATTTTAATTAATAAATTTTTTTTATAGGAAATGGATGCAAGCTCCAAACTGAAGACGGACATTGAAACGACTAGCTCTTTGTACTGTGCTGAGTGTCAACTACAGTTTCATAGTGAGGCGGCCTTCGTCACGCACTTTGGTAGTTCTAATAAACACGCTTCAACCAATCTGTAAGTATTAAAACAAATCTTTCATAACAGCTGTGTACTATCATGATTAAGATAGTGCGCAATTTATTTCATTTCTAGTATTCCCACAGAAATATATCTATACAGTATATTATAATAAATTAAAATAATTGTTATATAGACAGTATTCATAGAAAACTTTTTGAACTATAAAGTGCAGTTTTTTAGTTTATTATATGTATTAAGTCAATGTCTTTAAAAAATCATTTTTTGTTTAATCCTTGTAAAATCTTCGTGGGAATGTGCAATGTGTATGTGTTCATTTTTAAATGGTCTTAAAAATCCATTATAACTTTAATGAACCTTTCAATTTAAAAAAAGTAGTAGGTACGCTATTTTCCTCGTACAGGCGTAATTGTCGTTTATTATTACGGAATATAGTTAATCATTCTCAATTGTATTAGGGAGCGTTCAAGTATTACCTCACGCAATTTTTGGAGATTATTGACCCCCCCATGTGACGCGCCGTAACGTTTTTCTGTACCCAAGTATAGTAAAACGTTTAGTGACCTAGTAATCTTTATACCTAAAATTTACGATTATGTGGTGTAAACTGTAAAGTACTGGAAAGTCGAAAATAATATTAACAATAATGCGTAATTCAATCCCCGCCCCGCATCGTAAGGTTTTCAAAAGGACCCCCCCCTCCCAAAATTCGTTCCGTAATACTTGAACGCTCCCTTATAGGTCCTAGCCATATTATTGAAAAAAAAAGACATAAAAAAACTTGCGACGAAGATGTCATTTGTCAATATAAGTTTAGTAATATTATTTAATTTTAGCTCAATAAAACCGTCCCGTGGCGAAGAAACGCTTGTGAACGGAAAGGCCACTACGCGCCCGCGGGGAAGACCGCGTAGAGATGTCTCAGAAGTCCTTAATAACGGTACATCGACGGCTGGAAACTGTGATATTGTTAGTATTATTTTCTTTTGTTGTTAAAAAAACATTTTTTTTTTATAAAGAATTTATCAGAAACATACCAATACACAGAAAATAAATACATAATTAGCTCTAGAGAGATAGATTGCTAGCTTTCGTCAATATTTCTGCCTCGTTCTGTTATTTGTCAAAGGCGTCTGACGTTTCAAAAACTTTTAGTGAAGTGGTCGCCTTTATTTATACAGACCTCTTTTAAAACCAATTTCCACTATAATTTCATAGTATTAATCTTTTCTCTCAGTCTCTCTTCCCTTTTTATGAATATATATTGTTTAATAAGGGGGGGACCCCCGCCACATATGATCAAACCCCCTTTAATAATAAAACTGAATCAATCTAATTGCACTCCTTTAATAATACTGTTTTATTTTTTTCTGTGAAGATTTGTTTACGCTGTGGTGAAAAGACAAATTTATTGTTTATGAAAAAGGGCGGGAAATATGAACATGTTTCAATTGTAAAATCTATTTTTATATATATTTTTTAATTCGTAGTGTAAGAAATACCTATCAAACGACGTTCAAGCTCGCAAACACTACGAATCGGAACATCCAGGCGCAGAATATCTAAAGCGATACATGTGTGATATATGCGGACACACCACTAAGGTATGTTTATATCTAAAAAAACTGACAGCTGCCTCTAGTAACATGAATAATGTTCTACATCTGAGAATCACATTGACATACATTTAATCACATCAATAAAATTTATCCTTGTATAGTTTAATTTACTAGTGTTTTTATTCAATTTGACGAATTTGGTAATTTTTTTTTCATTTGCCAAATTTTAATGTATTAATGCCAATAAAAATTTATTTTAAGAGTAGGAAAGCAAACACCGATTTTATTTACGATTAACACAGTTAGGTATATATAAAGTGTTTTAAAGAACTGTTTTGGATTTAAGATTTAAAACATAGCCCGGGCATCCGAGCAGATTTAAATTTAAAAAGTTTGAATATTTGTTATAAACCAAAAAATCACATATTATAACACAGGCTCAGTTAGAATGTGTCCTTTATAAAAAACTAATTTATTATAGGCTTAGTAACATTAAATATATTTCCAGCAATACGCGAACCTTATGGTTCACATGCGTACACATACGCGCGAAAAGCCGTACGCCTGTCCGTACTGCGATCGTCGGTTCAGTATGGTCAGCAACCGAGATCGCCACATTGTCGTGAGTAATTATATTATTAAAGCTTGGTTAGGCCCTGGCACATAGTAAAGGAGACAAAAAATTGTAAAAGGATTGCTTACGAAATTATTATAACTGTAATTTTGCTAATTATTTTTAGAAATTTGAACGGTGTGCATTCTTTATTTCATGTCAGCTAAAATAACGCTTTTTATTTTGGGGTCATCTTTAAACACCATAGTTTTAATTCCATAAACGTACCGCTTCGTTTATCTATAACTTGCCTATAATGGTATTCAGAAACTTAGCGCTTAGTCGACCCCTACGTCAATAATGTATTGAATACGAGATATTTAAAAACATAGCGCGAACTATTAATTCAACTTCAATAACCCTAAGTCTGCTATGAGGATTGTACGCGCCAATTGATTCTATTACTTCCACCATCTTCCGTTGTTGGAAATTTTTTAAGCATAAATTTTATTTACGTTTTTAAGGTACACACAGGTGAAAAAAGATATGAATGCCAGCATTGTGGACGTCGATTCACGCAAAGTAGCGCTGTCAAACTACACATCCAAACCGTCCATCTCAAAATCCCTTACGCACCTTGGGACAAGAAGAATAGGAAGAGACGGAAAGAGATGGAAACATCTCTCGCCTCTGTCGCACAGCCAAAGGCGCCCGACACGCAAGGGGAATATATTAATGCGTATATGTTTAATTTATAAGTATGATTGTAATATTACTCCAACGCGGCTTCGTCGTGGCAATGGCTTGTAATGCAGAGGCATTAAAGGCTGAAACACTTGCTTGCCTTTAATATAGACTGCCCCTTATAGGCTCAAACAGTTGGTAACTATTGGGACTAACGATATTAAACTTTTTTATTAATGTGGACTGAGACTGAAATGAAATGTTTTATTTGTACTGATCTGCCTAAGTTTTATCTTTATTTTTATCCACCTTTGAACTAAAAGGGTTTACAATTTGTGGTGTAATTTTTTTTGACATTTGATTGATTGTATTTAAAAAAAAATTATCATTATAAATAAAATAAAATTATAATAGATTTTTTATAAATAAAAACAAATGAATTGTATAAAAAAAACTGTATTTTAAATAACATAATTTCTTTATTTATATTGGTTGTTTAAATTGTGATTTTACTTTTTAATTTCATGCATGTGGAAAGGTCTGTTAGGATGGATATTTTATGATTAAATAATTTATGTACAATGACAAGTATTTTTTAAATTAATCTACCAAAGGTCTGACAGCTTATGCTTTTTTTGTTTTAATTTATACTATAAGTTTATTTATATATAAGTTTTCATAATTCCCATTTGAACTAGTGAATTAGTGTGCTAATGCTACACAGTGAGTGAAAAAAAAAATAGAACAAATACTGAGTGTCTTCCCTTTAATAGACTGTAGTGTTATTGGACACTTTCTTATGTAAAAATCCTTATTAGTAAACTAGGTTAGACTTAAATTACTTATTAGTTTTAAGTTAGGCTAGATTGTAATGTTCCATGATGTCTCAGAAAAGACACATGTATAAAAAAAAACACGTAGATCTTTATCAGTTTACATATCATTACCCTGCTGCTGTAACCGGTATTCTATTACTATAGAATTGTTTTTTTAAGGTACCTAAGAGGGATAGACATAAATAATAAAATATGGCTATAAAACAATTTATTATATGGTAAGTCCGTTAGGTAATGCGCGTACCAGGCGAGGTGCGCGCCCAGAAGTAGAAGTATTTTCCCAAGTATTACCATTACTTTCTGAAGAACAGTTATTTTTTCGTCTGCGACGTACCCGTTTTCGCTTTGTACGCTGGTTGTTGGCATTTGAATAATCCTCCATAATCCAAATGTTATCCTGTTCATCACTTTGAGTCCTTTGAGACAATGTATTATCTAACATTGCTAGTGCTCTTTCTTTATAAGATTCAAGATCTGTTTCATTTTCGTTCTCTTGAATGGACTCTCTCTTTTCTTCAGGCTGTGCTCTGGTATGTTGTAAAGAGGAATACTCTAATCCAGCCCCATTTTCTGATTTCCCTCCGTCATGTTGTAAAGAGGAATACTCTAATCCAGCCCCATTTTCTGATTTCCCTCCGTCATGTTGTAAAGAGGAATACTCTACTCCAGCCCCATTTTCTGATTTCCTTCTGTCATGTTGTAAAGAGGAATATTCAAATCCGGCCCCATTTTCTGATTTCCCTCCGTCAATTGCATCAATTGAAGACTTGTGAGCTTCACATGCCACATAAGAATTCTAAAAATATTATAAGTCATAAATACAGCTGTAATCAGGGTTGGCATTAAATTATTTTATTGTATTATTAAATTGTGAAGGATTGTCTGATAGTTATTATGATAAATAAATGGTATGTTACAACTATAAAATTTAGTTGCCAATCAGTTAATCTATCTTAACTGAAGTAGAAGAAAGAAAGAAGATAACTACTTATTCTTACTATAAGGGTTACAAAAAAAATTAATAGATTTTTTGTTTAAACCATAATTAACCAAGTACTCCTAAAACCCATTTTAATTGGTATAATGGTGCAAATAAAATATTTTTTCCAAATAATTTTACTGTATATATAAATTATGGGTGTAACTGGTTATTAATACTAACTTTTAAAAAAATAATAAAAACTTACATTGCCAGGTTTTACATTTCTTGTTACATCTGTGTTAATCGGAAAAACTCTGAAAAAGTTTACATAATTGTTATTAGAATCCTACAACGCTTTAATAAATACAATATTATATTTAACCCTTTATGTTAACATAGTGTACAAACTACTCTCACTTGTATACATTAAAAAGTAACAGAAATTCCGATATATAGTTTACTTACTCCACGGGGTCATCAGGACAAAGGATAGTGAGCCGCTCGGCGCTGGGTAGTAAATGTCCACGGGAGCGAAGCACGAAGGATTCAGTCAGGGCTAGTAAGTCACGAAGCCGTTGTTCGAGCCAACGGACACGGCGGTGCGGATCCACCGATACATAGCAGTGCGCTCGAGGATCGTTCTCGCTATATATCCGAAGCAGACACACTCCTACACGAAACCGTTCCCTTAGATTTTTTTTTATCCCTTTGGATCCTGTGTCATTGCCGTGGCAGCTGTCCACTTCCGAACTCTCAGAATCGTTTCTTCTGCAGGAAGACATGATCAATATTGAAACTGATCTCTTTGCTCCTATTCTTTATCACAGTAATTTACCAAGCTAAAATACGCCTTACAAATATGAATATTTAATTTTACACCTATTTTGAGCATAATATATAGTAAATAATAGGTAGAGTAATATTATTATATTTAGTAACATACATTAGGAAAAATGAACTTGGTGTTCATTACCAAAAGCAGAATTTTCATTAATAATACTAAATTTATATTCTATCATTAGCTTTTGCTCGTAAACACTTATGATTTAAGTTTTACACACCACTCGGCACTCAACAGTCACCACTCTTTAAATCTTCAAGCTTCGCCTTCATTCATCATAATTCATAGGTTATGAGTAATGACATTTGACAGGAAATACGTATTCAGTAGCTGTGCAACTTATGGCTTAAATCATGAGCTACAGGTTTTGTAATATTTACATTTTAATATAATACATTAATATTTGCTAACAGGATGATATTATAATATTATTCATTTATTTACTGCGTTATTCAAAAAGAGGTATTCGTCGATAAAGCTTTTTGCCACATGTAAAATATCTATTTGGCAAGAATTATCCTGTAAATTTAGTTAAAAGCACGGTAAACCAGCGAAAAACAAAAGCATTTAATAATTCTTAGTGTATTTCTAAATCTTACGTTGTTGTGTTAAATATTCTGTGGTAATATATATATAATGTAAGTATACTCTATATAAATAGTTTATCTATAGCACTTGCCGTTTGTAATTGCCCAGACTAATATACAACAAAAAAAGAAAAATATATTTTTGTCGTTAAACGTTAATAATAAAAGATCTTACAAAAAACCGATGAATTTATATTTTTAGCCCAGAAGCATAGCATAATTAAGAATCCAAACCAATAAAGAGCTTGATGATCAGCGGGAAGTGACATCATAAAAAACGTTGGCGGTTGGAGTAGCGTCTGGTGGCTAGTGATGGTGAAGCGCTGGGCGTGATGTCGAATGTGGAAAACGTGTGCCCGCAGGTGCTGCGTGGCGTGGCGCGCGAATTACGGCGCCTGGCTGCCAACCCACCTTCTGGCATCAAGCTGCTGCTGCGTGACGACGACCTCACCGACGTTGTTGCACTCATCGACGGACCCGGTAAGAATCTCTTTTGTAACAAGCTAAATAGATTTTTAAATTACAGCAACAGAAGTTAACAAGAATCAACACAATTTAAATATTAATTCCAAATTTGGAACTAGCCACCATTCTCCTTAAAGAAGTGTTCGACTATAGTACAGAATTTAAGTTCGTGATGGGTTCTGTACTTACGTTAATGTTATTAAAACATAAGTTTATATGCTATATTGTACATTAAGGAAGATAGACTTACAGGTGTAAAATATGCAGATTATCATATCTTTTATTTATATTTAAAATTAAAAACATCAATATTTTAATTTAAAACATTAAATTTTAATGCTTATAATAAAATAAATACTTCATTATCTTATGTAATATGAACTATGTGATTAGCATTTGCAAGGATAAATTGACCAATGGTTCAATTAAGCTTTAAAAATGTAAATATCACAATGAAGATTGTGCAAACATTAAATGTAACTTACAATATTATAAATGTATGACGTTTGATTGTTTATTATTTTAATCATTTTAGTGACCACATTGTTACACTAATTTTGAGGCACCCAATAATAATTCTAATTAAAAAAAAACTTCAAAAGCATAGTTTGACATTTTATGATAGATTTGATTCACATTCTATAATACGGAGGTAACAAATGTTGTGTTTTGCAGCAGAGACACCTTACGCTGGCGGCGTATTCAGGGTGCGGCTGGTCTTAGGCAGAGAGTTCCCTACAGTGCCTCCACGCGCGTACTTCCTCACGCGTGTCTTCCACCCTAACGTATCATCTGCTGGTGAGGTATGTGTGAACACACTGAAGCGCGACTGGCGTCCTGAATTAGGGCTCGAGCACGCACTACTCGCAGTCAAATGCCTACTGATCGCGCCCAACCCTGATTCAGCGCTGAATGCTGACGCGGCAGCGTTACTCCGCGATAGGTACGACGATTACTTCGCTCGAGCAAAGCTCTATACCGACATTCACGCGCGTCCAGACGCGGCCTCCGGCCTAGCGCATGCCTCTGCGGCAAACGAACCTTCTGACGCTGCCCCCCGAGCGAAGCGTGAGCGCCGAGCCCAACCACCTCTCGCCAAAGACAAGAGACGCATCCTCAAAAGATTATGAGCATCCCATATATAATTAACTATAATTAGGTGTGTAAAATATTTGATTTAATTTTATTTAAGTTATAATAAATGATGAAGCGATTTTTTATTTGGTATTTAATTTTTTTTTATCCCAGCCTAGCTAATCTATAATTTAGTAAGATATTGTAATAGAATTTAGATACATTGTTACATTTTGTGCATTTCATGTGATAATATGTATTATGAAATTTATGCACCTTCCAAAAACTAAAAAAAACGAGGAACTATTTAGAATGCTAAGATAGATTATGAAGTGATAAGTTAAGCTGAATTTGGATCAATAATAATTGATATGTGAGAAAATTAGATTTTCTTATCTTAGAAATCGATTGTCGTTTTTTTTCTTACATTATAAAGTTTAATCCCACTTCGCAACTACTTTTACATTAAAACATACATCTTCATAATAATCTCTAAATCAATGTATAGATAAGTTTATTCTGTCAAATTACTTGCAAAGTTTTAAATAGAATACTATTTGCTTATGCTACTATATGTTATAATAGCTTGTTTGAGATAAGGCTGCCTATTGTCCTACTTATTATTAATGGTTTATTGGTTTTATGATGTTTGTTATGTTGAATAAAATCTTTACAAATGTTCATACACTTTGTATGTGTAGACGCAGAATTTTTAGGTATCGAGATAAATCAATGTGGTTGAAATTTCTTAATAAGAAAATAGCCTAGAGTAGTTTTCGAAATTATAAAACCATTTCAAAAGTTTATTTAAGTTACATATGTACAAATTATGTTACGACACTCGTAATGTAGTAGGAGAGTCGTTATGCCTCGGCTTTGTCGTGTAAGGGTAGGTCTTCGGGGAGGGCAGGACGCGGTGCGGGCGGGCCAAGAGTGCGCTGAAGGAGAGAAGCTGCCGCTGCGCCACCTAGCGGACCGACCCAGTATACCTGTAGACATATCGATACCTCCTAAGTATACTGAGTCATCTAACAAATTTAGGTATTTTGTTTTTTTATACAAAAGTACATAATAAACCATGATCTTAATGTTAGTGTTATTTTTTTTTTAAAAAGACCTATAATTACCGAGATAATTTCACGTATACTAAATCAATTTCAACATCAGTTAAAATCGTACATTGTATACTGATCCAAATAACATTGTATCAGTGTTCGCGGGGCGTAAGGAGGGACGCATTGATACAAGTTTATTATGGCTCAGTATACGACAAATGACGGCGAGGGCGCGAAATTTTTTTAATTATCTCAATAATAAGGTGAATAATACTAATGATACAATTAGCAATATCTCAGGAATCGGTGATATAATGCAAAACAGGGCTGAATATGGTAAGTTACATTGATATACTTTATTTATGTTATATATAGTGTGATTTTGCCATTTTTGTTTGATAATTGTTACACGTCGCTTAGTACGCCGTATACTGATACAACTATATTTACACCTGTTTACAACGAACAAACTTTATAAAGAAGACACTTGACTTATCTGGCTATAATAATGTACTAATTAAATTTTTGATATATTTGTTTTAATTGTGGTATAATATATTTTTTTATGTGTTATAAATTTTATATCTTGATATTGGCACGTTAAATATAAAAATATGAATTCTTGTGTTTTTAATTGTTGTTTGTTTTAGAGTCTCCATTGCCACCGGATGCAAATTGCTAATTTATGGAAGATTTATGGAAGATGCAAATTGCAAAAAAAAAATGCAAATATATGGAAGAGGAGCTATCAATACTTGATGATATTGATTAGAATGATAGCAAGGAAGTATCGCAGAATATCCCTTCTAATGCTTACATATTATTCCTAGATTATATTATTCTTTGCTCTTCGCCTTGGGTATCGATTGTTGATAACTGAACTCAAAAAGGAGATCGATCGCCATCAGTCATAGAGAACACTCCAGGTAATTCGCCCATCCAGAATAGCATTATAGAAAATTATTGTGATATTACTCCAGTACCATCGCCGTATAATTCTTTTGACTCATCTCCTGTTAATTTCTGACATTAATGATATCACATACTCATCGTCCAATAACGCCAAAAGCGCATTTCCATTGCGAAAAAAGATAAAGAAAGGCTAAGAGTTTTCATAAAAAATGTATGGATAAGGAGAGGAAATATAAGCTTAATAGAGGATTGGAATATGTCAGTAGAAACGGAAGAGTTCATGCTACGAGAATTATGAAAACTTCTTGCCCCTCAACTTATGGAAAAAATGCAGTGAGAAATTAACAGAATGTTTTGGATTATTGGACCACTCAAGACAATGGGTTTTTTGGCAAGATATGCTGTAAAAGCTGGAAAAAAAGAGAAAAAATATTGTCGATAAAAAAGGAGTGAAGGAGATAATATTGAGACCACAAAAATATCGGTTTGCAAAACTATGTTCTTGAGAACTCTTTCTATTAGTTTTGATTTTGCTTATACAGCTTTAGAAAAGTCCGATAAAGGTAATGGATTTATTAAATCAGATCAGCGTGGTCTTTGGATGAACATATAATCCATCCGATGACGTTCACAGTGTTATAGATCACGTTGAAGCATTTTCTCCTGTAGAGTCATATTACACTCGCCAAAAAATCAAGTAAAAATTATCTAGAAGGCTTTTTATCCTTCCCAAAACTGTTCATGAATCGAATGGTTTATGGACTACCGTGAGACAATATCGAGATATCTATATATAGTTTTTATAAACCCAAAAAAGATTTTTGTGAACAATGTCACATTTATGAAAATAACAAGCAAGTTCTACAGACAGATAAAGAAAAGCATGAAGAGCATTTTAAAAAAAAGAGAAAGCTAGAAAAATTAAAACAAAAGATAAAAAATCAGCGTTACAAAATAATGAAATCCTTACATCAGCATCTGATCTTCAAAAGTGTCTTAATGTATGTACCTCACGAGAGCGTGAGTACTTTTTATTATAAACGGAAACATTATTTGTATAATTTCACGATATTCATTCTGGGATCTCGCCAAGGTGATTGCTTTTGATGGTATCAACAGACAGCAAAGAGAGGTGCAATTGAAATTTCCAACTATCATTTTAAGTTTATAGAAGATACGGGTGGTGAAGGTGTCAATGATTACCGGTTTTAGTCAGACAACTGTGGAGGCCAAAATAGAAATAGGATTTATTTCTTAATGTATATGTTAGGTAGTTTAAAGTGTAGTATAGCTATTAGCCATCGCTTTCTAATAGTGGGTCATTCACAAAGTGAAGGCGACAGTATGCACGCTTTAATTGAAAGACAGACAAAGATAAAAAGCTTTATATGCCTGATCAATGATATACAGCTTTTAGATACATACACAGTTATTGAAGTGTCTCAGTATTTAATAAAGGACTTCAAATCAAAGTCAAAACTTATAAACAACTGGACAACTACTAATGATGGATCTATCTATCTATCTAAATAACTCTAATGGAGCAGAAGATAGTGATTCAGACTGATTTTTGATTCGTTCAACCTTTAATATTTTTATTTATTTTGTTTAACCTTATAGAAATTTTTTGAGAGTTAGAATTTCCTAGATTTTTAGATATTTATATTATTCATATCTATTATTTTTATTAATATTGCTTAACGTAAGTTACCATTTTTAGTTTCTATTATTTTTATTGATGTTTGTTACTTTTCAAGAAACTTTCATGATACAAAAACGGGTCGGATACAAAAACTACAAAAACGGGTCCTACTTAGTATAAACGAAAAATACATTGTGATTCTTTAAATGTGTTGTTTTGTTAAATGAGACTACTTCTTCCTAACCTTTATTAATTTCGTGAGGTATTCGAAATACCTAAAATGAGTAATTAAAAAGCCTCGATTAATTATATTAGTCCAGTATACGTTGAGGTTTTAACTACTAACATAGGTAAGTACTTTCCTAGTATAATGAGTCAAGTGATGTAATTTCAACATTTTATTATTAAGTGGGACAAAAAAAATCGAAAATAACCAAAAGTAGTATGATATTAACAAAATGATTATCATATTTCGTAATATTTTCGAGTAAGTCATGGATTTTCATGTACAACGTACATGAATATAACTGGTAGTTAAACCATTTTACTATTCAGGCCCGCCCGTGTATAATGAGTCATGTACATAAAATATCATTTAAAAACAAAATTCAGCAAAATCATGTTATACCAAAGGAAGAGCTTTCAATCTTTATTAAAAAAACATTTAATTTATTCCGAATTAGTTTGATTTCATTAAAATATAAACAATTTGCCTTAAAATGGCTCTCCTATAAAATTACTAAAATGTCAGTTGACTCAGTATACTTAGGAGGTATCGATATCGGAGTTGAGCACAAGCAACCTCGCCACAAATTTATTTTATTATTATTTATTTACAAGGATCGATATCGTTCTAGCACTGGTCGCAACCAGATACCTTGTTTTATTTTTATAATAATTCGAGTTCCCACTACTTGTTCAAGCCGACTGATTTGTAATAAATAAAAATTCTTGAATTCTCTGATACAATCAGTAATACATTGAATTTTTATAAAACGAGCAAATCTCAGGAATGACTCAATATAGTAAAATTTAATTAATTTTGAACGAGCCGTTAGACCGAATTCTTTTTTGGATTGAATTGACTCACCCAATGGTCGGCAGTGAAACCCTGCAAGAGTGCAGGAGCAAAGCTACGGGCAGGATTAAGACTCGCGCCCGTGAGAGGCCCGCCTGCGTAAATTAGGCCAGCCACTACCAGACCAAGCTTCAAGGACGCCGCAGGATCGACACGACCCGCATCTTCTGCGCGCCAAATGCCACCAGCCGTCAACACCAAAGTTCCCGTCAAGAGCGCCTCTAATACCGCTGCGCCAAATACGCCCACGCCGGATCCTGGTGCTGTTCCGCCCGCTGGCCCGTTCGCAAAGTACGCTGACGGCGATAGCAGCATTAGCGCTCCGAATCCAAGCGTGGCGCCTACCACTTGCGCTATGACGTAAGGTAGCGCCGCGGTCCACGGTAGCCGCCCAGCCATCGCCGCCGCCAGTGTTATGGCCGGGTTCATGTGCGCACCCGAAATACCGCCGAACCCCTCGATGAGGGCGACGACGAGGAAACCGAAGGCCAGCGCAGGGTGGGATAATGGTGCACCAGAAGGCAGCAGAGCAGCAGCGCCGAGCCCCACGAGCAACGCTGTGGCCAGCACCTCGGCCACAAGCGCGCGCCACCACATTACCGCCCACGCGCGCACACCTTTCTGTGTGTTGTCTGTGTAAATTCATACTTTGTCAAGTCTTTATATGTATTAATATACATAAATAAAAATCAAAGTATTATAATTATTAAAGTCGAAACGAAATAAACCCATTTAATACATTGCGGCAGCATTCTTATAAATGAAAATATTAATTTATTTCCTTATTTATAATTAGAATTTGTCTGACCTTTTAGACTGTAAGTATTAGTAGTAATGCCAAAAACAATTACCTACTTGGCATATATTAATTTAAGGTTTTGCTATAAAAACGAAATAATACAACATTTATAAGTGCGTTATACATACTCTTTGTGATTAATCATAGTGCAACAACTTATTAATTAATTAAATCACAAATAAGGTGAGCGGTACGCACTTAGTATTGTTAAATCGGCATGACCTTAGACGCCGTAGCTCGACGCTCAGCTTAACCAATCATTCGTTTGAATAATGAATATTTATTTAATAATATATACATAAGTCAACGCTTGTTTGTATACGCTTAAAAATATAAAGGTCGGTCAACCCCTCGATGTAACTTAGCGCAGTTTTGATGGCGCTTAATTGTTTGGTATAAAGTAACCCTTAAAAGACCGGCTGCAAGGAACACATCTTAGGCAGCCGCGGGCCTTCTTATTTATTTATATTTGAGAACCAGTTAGTAGCTTAGCCTTCAAGGTCGACTTAAACTATGCATAATTTTATATCATCTTGCATCTATTTAATCATTTGCATATTAAGTAGGTATCACTTTAATGAGGCAAACACTAACATATATATCATTTAAAAAAACGAATTGCGAATTTTGTACCGCGATGTTTAATACCACATAAGTAGCACATCATTCAGACACTAACAAAAGAATCTCTCGGAGGTGTGGTAAAGCTCGTGTACTGACCGTCTGTGGCCATCGGCGATAAATGCAGCCCTCGTACAAGTTGATGTGAACAGTCGCAAAGCGGTGATTAGGGTGTGTGGCGTGTGGCGGCGCGATCACAACTAGCGGAGTCCAACATCGGCTCTAGTGCCAAGACTATCGATTTCTTTCCCCCGCGTCCCGCACCTGTCACAGCGCCGGCAAGGGTGCCTCTGCCCTTGCGCACTCAGTAGCGATACCTATTAATCGTAGTGATAAAACTCAAAAGAGCCCTTAATCTTTGATTACATTGTCATTTGTCGCTCCTAGTTCTGTCTTTTCTTCTGTGCCCTTGTGCTTGTCTTTTGTGAAGCCCTTTGCATTCCCTTATACGTCGACAACTACACAAGACAAGGTTAACTCTATTACCTTTCTAATTACATATAAGGTCTTATCGAACAATGTAATTTAAAAATAGCTGATTGAAGTATTTGTTAAATTTGTTGAATATTATTCAAATATGTGCTATCAGAGGTCAGAGGTGTGTGTCGAGTTATCGGTCAATAATAACAGCGACGCTCGCTATAACGGACTCTTCTAATACATTGTCAAACAAGAGCCGATTCGACACAGCCTAATTCCATGTTAATGTTCCCATCGGCGCAACCTATCAGCGCGTTTCAAAATGTTGACTGGATGAGCCTGTACACATATTGTTTCAGCGATGTGTGTATAGACACAGCTCGCAGTACGGTAGTCTGCCGTCATTCGTATGTGACATTTGCCAAACACGGTTTATCTGAAATGTCTTGGCCGGAAGCTGCTAATTACGCGGTTTGCTAATGAGCGTAGCGATTTCGGCGCTCATTAACAGCCAAAACGCCTGATCGGTTCGATACGGAGCCTTTCCTGTATCTATTTTGATAGATCGACACCCAAACGACAAAAATAGACAAAGAATTAATTAAATTTTAGGTAATTGTGATTTGTTATGGTGGCAGTGACAAATAAATAGAATTTAATTGCATTAGCGAATGGGTTTACTGATATACAGGCAGTCCTCGACTTACCTCGTTTCGATTTACGTCGTTTTAAGTTACCTACGTCGAACAATGTTTTGACACATATCCATTATCCATTGCACTCGACGTCCGCCGTTCCACAACTGAGCGTTTTTCAAGGCAGTTTATGCCGCGCACCACCACTATGTGGAATCAGCTGCCCACTGAAGTATTTCCGAACCAATTCGACTTAGGGTCCTTCAAGAAAAGTGCGTACCAATTCTTAAAAGGCCGGCAACGCACTCGCGAGCCCTCTGGCATTGAGAGTGTCCATCACTTAACATCAGGTGAGCCTCCTGCCCGTTTGCCCCCCGTTCTATATAAAAAAAACTCCCTCTGCCCCGCATAACCAATACCCCTCTTACGCAACACCGTTTTAAAAGGAAATGGACAACAGACATGAACAACAGAAGCTTTTGATCGGATACATTATTTTGCACCTAATATCGGGCCGATTAAAAAGTTATATTTAGTTAAGTCTCATTATTGTAAAATTATTAATGAAATTAATTTAAATACATTTTGGTTTTTTTTTGGGATTCACTGCTGGCCCTCACTTAATTCACTATTCCTCAAGCATACGTTATTTGTTTCGATTTCCGGCACATTCATTCACTTGTCTTGTGCAAATTTGGAGAATGCCATGAAAATGTTTGAAGAAAATGATCGTAATTTTGAGAGAAGTTTCCACGTTAATAACTAAATTTGTGCAGCCTGTCAGTGTTACGAATAACGAAGATCTGTATGATAGCAAGAAGAAAGAAGCGAAGCAATCTAGAATTGATAGTTTCTTTAAGCCAAAAGTTTAATATAGTATAATAATTTCTCATTACATATTAAAGTTTTATAATTATTATTAAAATTAATACCACACAAATACCAAAAATAACTAGCAATGTCATAAGTGCATATATAATTATTTTAAGAACTTACTTTTGATAATAAAGTATGAATATCCTTTGTTATAAATGTAGTTTTTCTTAATTTCGAGTCCGTGTGGATCCTAACCCTTGAGTTTTACATGTAAATATACGAAAATGACACGTCGTTACGTCGTTTCGATTTACGTCGCGTATTTCGAGAACCTACATGCCGTAAGTACGAGGACTGCCTGTACTTAATAAAACAGTTTAATCTCACAAATTGTATTTTATTGTTATAATTTACGTAACTAAAAGATTTATCCCAAAACGTTAGTTTCTTTACGTTTAATATTGTAAGGAACTCATCTTTCTCACATTAATTTCCCGAATTTTAAATGATCTTGCGTGGCGGTTATCCGAACTAATATAATTCCTATTTGGTACGAGAAATTTTATTTATACTCAAAAATTTTATAGACTGATGCATATTAATATATAAAAATAAAATAAAAATTCCATATTCGGTGGGTATCTAGATGATTACTGTCGAACTGTAATGACGTGACATCCTCATAACAAAAAAGGCAGTTTTGTATTGCTCCGACCTCAAATCCCACGACGATTTGTTTTTCTTAAATCACACTCTAAAAATATTGTGAGTAAAGTAAAAAATATAAACTGATTAAGAATTTTATTATCGACAGTAATTTACACCTATAACAGCTGAAACATAATTTGGGAAAACAGGGTAACAAGTTACTTTATTTCTTAAATTCACGTGCATTGCGTAGTTTGCTTTGGTAAAATTTTGAGTACATTAAAAATAGACGCAATCTTATTTTATCGTAATCTTAGGATCTACTGAACCGATTTTAAAAATTATTTACCCAATAGAAAGCCAGTATTTATGTGTGTTGTAGACTACATATTAACACGAAAAAGAAATTTGTTGGTTAAATAATTTTCAAGCTTTCCGGGTCACGATTGCCTTTGCAAAGCTTGCTAGTAGGAAATATAATTACTGTAAGCCCTTTAGAGTCAAATAAAAACCATGTCTAAGAAGTATTTTAGTGATTAGTTTAGATATCGTTTTAGTACTGTGTAGTATATTACCCATTTCTTTGCTCTTTTGAAATCATACACAACACTATTATAGACTTATTTCAAGTAACTTCGAAGGGATATAGGTGTAAAGAGTTGCTCAGTGAGTCACAAGTGAAACAGATGTTCAGAATAGAATTAATCTTTATTTCACACAATTTGTTGTCTTAAAACTAAACAAAAGATCCGCGCAGACAATGAGATGACCGTGGCGGGTATTTTTGACGTTGCACGTGACTTACGCCCGAATCCAATAATTAATCCACAATTGTTTTCAATCTGAGATCAGACCGTGACAGTCGATCGATCTCCTATCTGCATCCCAATAACCAAACCCTACGAAGACAATCCATTTTTGGCGACGGATGAGATTCTCTATGTCGTTCCATTTTACCGAGTTTTCACTCATATTTGATAATCAATGTAAACCAAATAAAGTAAATAAAACCGTACAAATAACATTAAAATATACATGTGTATGTTTAAAACATAACAAACAGTTTTTTTAATTATTTAAAAAACTGGTGTAAGTTAAAATCTGTTAAAATAATTAACTGTTGAAATCGAGCTTTCGTCAACTGTCATTTTCATACAAAGGTCTATCCACAGACACCGATACGACCTCACATGGATAGCTTGTATCGACAGATGGCTATTACAATCCGTCGAAAGGTTATTGGCCCACTTATTACGACATTTGGATTAAGATTTTAAGATTACTATCTCAGATGGTGGATTAGGGATTGAGATAAGTTATTGGGTTCGATCGTTAGGCAGTAAGTTTTATTGGCGATCTCGAAAACGAAATGCCACATCCTGGCATCTTTTAGACTAGGAGCAGAAGGAGTAACAATATTATCTCAATATAACCTCAACAGTGTGAGGGGTCTTCGAAAAATCAACAGCTTGTGTCCTCTACCAATCCGCATTTGGATTGGCTTGAAGGCTGATCAGTGATCAGCTACTTGTATATAGCAAAACAAGATAATGAAACAGACACTGAATGTGTTTGCATCAACCCCCTATGGAGAAAGAAGTCAGAATATACAATGGAAATTATTTGTATTTATGTTAAGCTCACCAAAACGTCGTAATAACTCGACTTTGGTTAGTATGCCTTGTTGTCCATACAATGTAAGGTTTCTTTCTGTATAACACCTCTATGTCTTCAGACAATACGCAGTTCCTTCAGCCCTAGAGTTTACACTGTATTAACTGGTGCGCGTCTTTGGTGCGCCGGGTGCGGGGCAGCTCCAGCAACATCTTACGGATGATAGTCGAGAGAATGGAGTGCCCCTATTTACGACACTGCTCCGACATCTCCGCAGGTCTTTGTACCTGATAGTTTTTGTTTAACTACTTTTTTCTTATTTTTACTAATTCTACTAAACAATAGTTTCTTAAATTCTAAACATAGATTTTAAGAAACTATTGTTACTAACTTACTAATCAATCAATGTATGTAATGACTGTATTTATCTGATTAATAAAATTATTATTATTATTATTAAAAATCCTTCTTCAAAAACTCGTATGGCATAGTCTAGATAGCGTTGTTCTATTAGTTTGTTGGTTTAATTAGTTAATTACATCTCTTGCAAACATAAATTGTTAATGATAATAACTTTAATCTTAAGTTCACATACACAAGAACATTCCTTGGTTCCTTATCTATGTTTATGTTTTTATAAATGGTGATTTTACATCAATATTTTTAATAACAAAAATGTAATGTTGTATTGTTGGTTTTCCCTAAAAAATAACTGAACTAGAATTTTTTATTTTTTTACCGTAATATTGTCGTGTCACATTTTGTAAGCACTAGATGTCGCCTTTAACAAAATAATTTCTGGCTTTAATAGCAGCTTTTACTAACACTTTTTATAATATTTGACCTTGCTGGTAAGACTATATAACAGACTACATAAATTACAATAAAACAATAGCTATAAAATTACATACGTTATTATCGATCGATTTTGATGTACAATTCCATTTGGAAAAACTAAGATTTTTCAGTCAATGTCAAACCAAGTACATGAACATACCCCGTGTAGTCAGTGAAGCCGCCATAAGGCAACGTAAAGGGCCGTAGCCCCCGACGCTCCACCTAGCGGTCCAACCCAATAAACCTGCAAATACACGTCTGATAGAGTAGTGTATTTAAAACACGTAATAAGTTCTATAGTAATAAGTAATTAATTTTCAATATATTGACTGCGGTTATGTAAGCATTTATCTTTAAATTTATCGGCCTTATTCATAAACATGAAATAATAATAAAATAGGTATCATGATAGGTATGTTTAGGTACAGTTCTTTTGACACGGAAACAACATCGTAATCATAGCAAATATCAGATATCTTTTGTCTACGTATAAGGCAGTTTGTGTTTGAATTTTAATATGGCAGGTTTCTGTACCAGTAAAAAATTTAGACATTTTTAAAAAAAATTATCCCTTAGAGGATATTAATAGGATACACTTAAATTTTAATCGACTTCTAAAATAATAAATTAAACTTTTTGTTATCATGTTAAACTGAGTTTTTATAATGCTCTTTATTCTTCCGAGTTTGATCTCGGTAAATTAGTTACGATAAAAGTACTAATAACAGTATGATTATCTTATTATGCACTCACCCAATGATGGTCCCAGTGGGCAGAGAGCAGAGCGGGCGCGAAGCTCCGGAGCGGGTTGAAGCTGGCCCCAGATATTTCGCCCTGGAACGCAGGCCTACTTATTACAACTACTATGAGCTACCCAGATATTTATATTAAATTGAGTGCATAAAGGAATTTTTTAATTGTGCTGTCTGTTAGTGGTGTATTGAATAAATTATTATAAGGTTTATTTACTCGTATTTATGTTTTTTATTTTATTTTGTATAAAACACATATATTATGTCTTGTCAAATTTAAAAGTAAAAATAGTTTAAAACAGTAATAGTATTAGACCAGCCATTTTGGTAAATCGGTATAAAAGAAGTAAATACTACGAATACGGAATACCTACTAGTAAATACTTCAACTTCTATTAACCTTCTAAAGTTGATTAATGTGTTTAATCATATACAAAAGTAAAATAGTGACGTACCGCGGCAAGTGTTAACGCCGAAACAGCAAGGCCAACACGTAATGGCCACGAGTCGTGCCAACGTCGGTTACGGATGTCCCAGGCGCTCAGGTTGGCCAGTGTCAGGCAGCAAGTACATACTGCTTCTACAGCCGCTGCACGCCATACTACTCCATTTGGCATCGTAACACAGTAAGAGGATTTGCGATTGTTTAACATCACTGCCGCTAATGCGCCAGATATCGCACCAATTGCTTGAGCTACCATCATTCCTACACCCCGCGCCATACTAACACGTCCACTAAACACTGCCGCCAGCGTGATGGCTGGATTCATGTGCGCCCCCGATACATGGTCGAAGCACTGAACGAGAAGCGCCACGGTAAGGCCTGCAGCAACTGCGCGGGTCAACAGCGGTGAGGATTCACCACACGCTGGCAGGCAGGACAGGAATACCAGCATCGCGGTTGCCACCAGTTCGCTTGTCAGTATGCGCCAAGTTTCTACCCCGTCATCCTTCGTACCAATAGTGGTGTATTCACCTGACAAGTCTAGAGAACAACTTTTTAAATCTATAAAATAAGAATACGTTCATGGAGCTACGAGTACAATCAAATATTAGTTAGTAATAAGGTTTAAAAGGGGCCTCATAGCCTAGCGGTCTTATTAAGTGGCAGCTAGGTGAGGAGTACCGGGTTCGATTCCCGGTTCGAGGGCAAGTTTTAATTTAATTTTGTTCTCGGCCTTTGGGAGGGTTGTGCGGTACCGGGCGAGTGCCTAAACCGTACATGGAGGACACGGTCGAATTTCTAAAGACAAGCACGAATTATAAAAAATCCTATACTTGACGCTGGCTAATGCACAAATCGTGCCAGAGCCATAAAAAAAAAAAGGTTTAAACGTTTCCAAATATCAGACGCTGACTTGTCTAGGTTACAAATGGGAATGCGAGTATGATGAAAAGGTTTACCTTGTACTTCATCGCCCGGTTGCAGGTGGGAAGACATCTTAGCGTTAATTCTCGGCTCTCCACAGTAGACACTGAAGTACTTTATGAATACAATCTTAGCACTATCTAATCTTTATAATTACACCGCAATTAATCTCGCGCCGAGATAAATGTTGCAAATTTAGAAGACGCGAGAAGGAAGACCATCGTATTTTCAAAAGACTTTTAAGTCTCCGATATTTAAAGTTCTATTTTATGCATAAATTGACACTACTATATATAAAAAGGTGACAACACATTTAAGCAGAACACTATATTTTAAGATATCTACTCAGAATTTATAAAAAAATATCAAGGCCATTCTAGCGAGACGGTTTAAACATTAAATAAACTAATCATGGATAACTTTTATTCAAGCATTACTATATTAAAATCAAAACTTTTCCAGATTTTATATATGCAATTTGCAGTGCTCGATTTAAAAAAAAATTGTATATCCGAAAATATTATGTCAATGTATTTGACTCCATTTTAATCCAGACATTTTTGTGAAAGCATATTTTGTGAAGTAAAATTCTATACCAAACAGGGTAAGTAATTGATATTTATAAATGTTTATTTTTTAATACAAAGTTTCGACATTTATATGATAAGTCGCGTCACTCAGAGGCGGGTGAGATGGGCCGGGTGCATGGGATGCACAGGGTGCAAGGCGGCATCTAGGTCCTTGCGACGCGCTGCGAGGCGATGATGCAAGTAGCGCGCGGCCCCTTCACCGCTCCAGGGCTGCGCGTAGAACGCGGCCCTTCTCTCCTCTTCAGGGTTGCCCCCGCCGCCGCCGCTCAGCGTCTTCAGATCTCGCGCCTGACTCAATAGCCACTTCTGCGTGAACTGCTGCGGGTCCTTGCCAAAACTGAGGAAGAACTCGCGGTTGGTCTTGAGCTGGTTGATCGTGTCGACCGTCTCGTGAATCTTGGCGTCGAGGCCCCTGGATCTCATGCTGGTTGGCGGTGGAGAGCAGGAAGGCGTTCATCTGCGCCTTGAGCGTGTCGTCGACCTCGACGTCGATGTCGTAGCAGGCGGTCTGCTTGGCGTCGTGCGGCGGCTCCACCGAGATGAGGTGGTTGATGACGATAGGGTCTGGCGCGTGAAGGAGGGGAGCCAGGCGCGCCGGGATCTCGGCCAGTTTGAGGCGCGGGCAGCCAAAGATCTGCTCGAGATACTTGTCGCAGAGCACGTACTCGCGCTCCCGCGGGTCCTGCAAGCGGTGCGTGTGCACGTACTGCCACAGGGCGTTGACGATGACGGGCCTCGCCTGCGTGTGCACGCCCAGCAGCCGTGCCAGCCGCCCGTCCAGCTTGAACTGCAACGGCTGGTAGTCTAGCAGCAGCAGAATAGTGCAGCGCACGTTCTTGTAGCCGGGCCGCTTCACCTGGAACCCGTCCGTCTCCTGGGTGCTGAGCGTGCGGTGCCACTCTACCAAGTGATTGTCTGGCCCGTATAGCTCCTTGTCCAGCTCGATCACGAGCGATTTGAAAAATGATGAGAACTTGCGCTTCACTTTGTTAGGATCACCTTTAGAGTCATCGAGCAGTCGGCCTTCCACGCGGAGCTCCCACGAGGCCACCGCGTTCTCGCCCTGACCTGCAAGACGTTACACGCATTAACTTAATTTCTTTAAGGTTTTTTTAATTTTTGGATAATTTATTACGTTTTAGGAAATGATATAATTATCACATATTTTATATTTATACTCATAAATAAAATAGAGAGTTGAGAAAAGAGATAGATTGTAGCATTTTTAAATACAATTTTGTAAATTATTTTACCAAATGAAATGCACGTTATATGATTCAGTTCTGAATTAATATTGTCGGATTTGCAAAGACTACAAAAAAGCAAAGCGGAAATACTTCCCACGAATGACAGATTTATGTTAGTTCTGATTAATATTGAGGCTTGGTAATGTACATAATTTTTCTATGTTTACTGGTCAGGCGCGTGAGATGCCGGAGCGAGTCACAAGTATGTGATAATTACAAAGTTACAATCAAAGGAGTCTTATTACACAAATACGTGATATGCAGAATTTTACATTTTTCAGGTACTCTTTGTTGCATTGTGCATCAAAACCTTCTGATAAATAATCAAAAGATCCATACAGATACTTATAAGAACATGTTAGCGAGTGTATGTGTGCAGTTTACCTGGATAGAATGTATTGGAAATGAAGATACGCAGCTTGCGTTTTTGTTTCATTGGGCGTTTGAGAGCCTCCTGAATGTCAAGACGCTTGCGCATAATAGTTGCATCCAACTTGCGCTCAAAAGTCAGCAGATCCATGTAGGCTTGAGACTCAGGTACCAGGTCGCGCACCTTCTGCGGCAGTATCTTGTCCGCCAATCGTTTTTTGCGTTTACCGCCGGCCCCGTAACCCTCACTGTTAGGCAAGGGCGAGTTTGTATGAGCTATTTGGATACTGAGATGACAACACATTATCTAAATACAATTAATGTTCTTTTAATGTGAGAATTACAATATTATAACTGAAGTAAACTTCTCTAAAGATATGGGCAAGGTCTGTAACATTTGCTTTTAACATTGATATTTGTCTTAAAAGGACTTTAAACTTTTCAAGTCTTTAGTTCAGCCACATGGTATAATATACAACCGATACCCACGAATCTGCAGTTGAAATAATCACTAAATAAATCAGTCGCTATGTCAGGAGCTCACCCTGCATAATGCTGAGGGCGTTGCTGCGGCGGTAAGGGCGGGCGGGCATCTGGCGGTCGCTTGGTAGGGGCGGGCGGTGCGGCGGGACGCGGAGGAGCGCCCCCGTACGGTGCAGGCGGTGGGGCAGCTGCAGCTCCTGCCCCGGCGTACGCTACTCTGACGTTACCGCCGCCCACCGGACCTGCACCTGCTGGCGGTGGAGTAAAACCGCTTCGTTGCTGTAATTACAAACATTGTTTAGGGGTAGTGTGCTTTATATTATGGACTGTTTGCTGGTTTGCATATGATTGTCAACCTAAAATATGCAACTTAAACCCCTAGTACGCATTGACAGATTCTACTTTCTGTATGTGCAATATTTGCTCATAATGCATTACAAAATATATTAAAGAGATGTTTTCAAGATATGTGGCTTTTTATCATCAGTTCATATTTCCAGAATTGTGTTTTACAAAGGCAAATGCAGAAGTCCAGATGAAATAAGAAAAGCATTATAAATATGTATCACCTTTGATGATGATAAAACCTCTATTAATAATAATGAATGAGTGTTACAATATAAGAAATAGTTCATACTATGCAATTACATGGATATTAATTTTGTGATAAATGTTTTAATATGTATAGACTAAAGATTATAAATTTTGTGTTTACTTAAGATTTTTAAAATGAACAATCAGGATGGTCATTATTTGTTATATGGGTAAGATTTAGTGTTGAGACTTAACACTAAACTTAACATTAGTATGTTAATAATATCTTGGATTTTACATACAGACAAGGGTCATACTTAGAGCAAATTCTTGACACTGACCCTCACTGTGAGGTTTAGTATTCCAATATGTCAAATATGTATTCGATTTGAGTATAACTAAGTCATATATATATATACCCCCCCCCCCCCCCCCCGGAAAAAAAAAAAAACAAAAAAAAAAAAAAAAAAAAATAAAAAAAAAAAAACCCAAACAAAAAAATTAAAAAAAATTTTTTAAAAAAAAAAAAAAAAAAATTTGGGGGGGGGGGGGGGTGACCCCCCCCAAAAAAAATTTTTTTTCTGTGGTTATAATCTTTTCCCCCCCTTTTTTTTTTTTTTCCAATTTTTGGCCATCCTGTAAAGAAGAAGAACTTAGAACTAAGACTTGGCTTTAAATATACCCTTAATTTGTAAAAGCTAGCGACTAGCAAGCTAACTAGCAATGTGATGTCTGTCCCGGTTGCAAAACCAAATAAGCAAAAGAATACAAAAAGTCCTTAAATTTGTTAAACTTCTTAAAATTGATTGTTTGTGATATACATGTCAATTTATACTCTGCAATTAGCCCACCACTATCTGTTATTTCAATTACATACAATCAATCACCAATCATCATCATCTAAATAATCAGCCTAGTGTGAGAGTAACCATCACCTTATCCTTTAAGGTTCAATATAGAATAGTTATTAAATATTCAATTTCAAAATTTAGTAGTTTTAGATTCTTGTGATGTGTATTTTTGTCAAATTTATGTGTTACGTACTCATGTAACAAGATATTAATCACTCCCGTAACCGTACTTACTGGAAAGTTAGGTTGCGTATATGGTCTGGGAGGCATAGCGGAAGGAGGCTGTGGCTGAGCAGGTCCTGGGTAACGTTGCTGAGGCATGGGGCTCGATGGCGCCGCGCTCGGCCCCCCAGCTGGAAACCTTTGTGCCATTTTGCTGTACAAGACCTTTGCTAATTTACAGCATTCTTCTGTTCAATACTCAGTATAGATGTCAAACAAGATTTAGCAAATATCTTTACACTAGTTTGCCTCACTTTAATTCCTTATACTATAAGCAATAGTTTCATGTAAACTATTTTCGTTTTAAGTGATAAAGTGACAATGTTTAAGTAATTATTAAAATATTGTCAGTATTGTAATTGTACACAACACTAAACGCTTCGGTACGGACTACGGAGCACCACAGAACAACATTAATCACAAGAAGACATAGACCATTACTGAAATGCACAGACTATAGGAGTAACAGATAACCAACTGGCACAGATTTTATAGGTATATTGATTACAGATTGTACAATATAACTTAATAATTTGTTCATATATAACACAGAATAAAAGTTCTAGTTTTACATTATATTTTTTACTGCTTATTGATTATACGTTTAGCGTCATGAAAAGTTTATCATAAACTTAGAATAATATGCTTTATAGATTAGAACAATGTAAAAAATTAGGGTTCTGTAATAATAGGGAAAAAATATATAAATGTATTAATCTGACCTACCTCACGCCTATGACGTCACTGTTTCTTTATAATTTATTTGGGGGGTTTGAGGAACCCTTGATTTAGGCCATTTATCCCCAGAATTTTTGTAGTTGGTTAGCCATATAAATAGGAACCTACGAAATAAATACCGTATTCAATGATACCGATACTAACGAATCATCAATCTTCAATATAGTTTGGAAAATTTTACCATATACAATATACATAATATTACTCGGAATCGTGTAAGTCATATTATTTCGTCACGTCATACTTACTTCTCAAGACGATACTAAATGTAAATTTTCGCAGATCGAACGCGTAATTTCCCATACAATTTATATAGTTTACAATGACAATTTCATCCGATATATTACGTCAAATTTTTTTTACTTAAAAAAAGGGGCATTTTTTTATCAATCAAATTTATCAGATAAAGCCATACAAAACGTCTAATATATAAGTGTTGATGAATGTTTATTAATTATATAAAAAGGCAGTCATTTTCTAAATTTTGTATAATAAGTGTTATTTTTAAGTACTATAGGTATAAAGTATAATCTAATCCTATTCTAGAAAATTAAGGACCATGATAAAAATGTCTAGACAGAAAGGTTGCAGGTTATTTTTGACTGGCATAAAAATAATATTAAAGGAATGGTGTAATCATGCGAAAAATATATATTGTTTTAGTACATGAACTTATTTAATGTACATTGCCACAGGTTAGCAAGACTTTCTTCAATACTAACAACTGGATAAGCATATTGCAAGTCAGTTGTTGGTACTGTACTTTGTTGAAGATCAACGTTGGTTTCATCAAGCCACTCGGCGTCATCACGCGCACTACGCATAGAATCTCTCTCGATCTACTGATCGATCATTTTTCTAAGCCGCTTTTCAGGTTAGAAATCACGCGTTTGACGAAAAAATAAGTACACGTGATATCTTACTATACCCCTCCTCCACCTTGTGATATTTCGTGATTTTCGCCGAACCCCTCTCCTCCCCTTTCGATTAATGGACAGCCCCTTAGCTATTTTATTATTATTACCCTTACTGCATAGTAAAAGTTTGCTTTTTTATCCATACAGTATTACAAATCTAAAGGTCTGTATCGTAAAGTCTGTATTTTTTGGCTTATTTGATTCGTGACCTAAGGTTCTTGCTTGATGATTATTGATTACTAGCTGGTCTGGCGAACATCGTACCGCCTAACAGTCGATTCTTAATTTTTTTTAAATACTTATTCTGCTATTCGGAACACCGGTCTAGCTAGTAAGATAAAAAAAGAAAGTTGATAAGACAACAAATACATTATGTCAAAAATAAAAATGTACCTTCCCGGAACCCCTCCACTAACACTTAAACTTTATGGTATGGTATTAAAGTTCAAATTGACTTTTAAGTATTATTACGAATCTTTTATATGGGAATATAGAAAAGTGTTGTTTTTAGACTTTTTCACTCGATTTTTTTTAATTTTTCTCTCCGTAAGAACCATCCTCGCACTTCAAGGAATTTTATAAAAAAAGAATTGGCCAAATTGGTCCAGGCGTTGTTGAGTTACGCGCTTACCAACACATTTTGCGATTCATTTTTATATTATAGATTAATTATCGGGCAAATTAACGTGGCGCACAATCTTGGGACACCAATATTCACTATTCTTATCAATTGTCACATAAAAAATGACATTTCGCATAATAATTCATTTCGCGCCATTCGTGTAACCGGTTTTGTCGTACTGAATTACATGTGAGAAATTGAGATTTTTTTTATATGAGGCGAAGGAAATAACATAAATGATTTTACCATAATCTTCAAACCAAGATTAATGAATTCATTATTAGAAACTAAATTCATTCAAAAATAGTTAGAAATTACTTTTATTTCGCTTGGATACAAAATCGTAAGTAAGTAAATAAACTCCTTATATGTACATTTTGTTGGGTTATAAGTGTGCAGCGGTAGTCGCGTGCAGCAGTCCAGTTTTATTAATGAATTGACAATATAAAAACATAACAAGACCATAGCAACGCCAACTTTAAATAACGAACTATGACGATATAATATGTATGCAAATTACCAAAGAGTTTCCTCTAATACACCCCCTTGATTTGCATACACATTTAACAACAAATATGTACTAAATAGTCATTACAAAAATATACAGACATGCAATCTTAATCTACACCTAACATTGAGATGCAGCGGTAATGTTTCTGTCTTTGTAAAGCTTTTGTTAGCACATCCGCCGCCATCTCCTCGGTAGACACATACGATAATTGTATGTCAGTATTCTCCCTTAAAACACTTCTTATAAAATAATATTGAATATCGAAATGTTTAGTTCGGGCGTGGAAGACTGGATCCTCCGATAGAAATAAGGCACCTTGATTATCGCAGTACAACACTATGTTCCCGAAATCGCGCAACCCTATCTCTTTCATAAGACTATTCAGGTAAACTGCCTCTTTTATCGCCAAATTTAAACTAATATATTCGCCTTCGCACGTTGAAGTTGCTACGCATTTCTGTTTCTGGGATTTCCATGAAATCGCAGCCCCTCCTAACAAAAAAGCATACCCGGAGTATGACTTCCTATCTATAGGACAATTTGCCCAGTCAGCATCCGAATAACCAATTAAGCTCTTACCTGTTTTTCGATAAATCAGTCCATAATCGGCTGTCCTCTTAAGATAACGAAGTAATCTTTTCACCGCATTCCACTGTATCTGTCCAGGATTATCACAAAACGCTGCTAATCTTGTCACGGCGTGTGTGATACCCGGACGAGTTCCTGCTGAAAGATAAATCAAGCTTCCGATTAATTCTCTATATGGACATTTCTTCTCCAGCGGAATTTGTGAACCATCGGGTCTAAAATTCACCTCCATCGGCGTGGTCACTGTTTCTTTACAATTCTCCATGCCGAATTTTATCATCAAATCATTAATATATTTTTGTTGTGACAGTTTCGTGGCATACTCATTTTTGACAATGTCAATGCCTAAAATATATTTCGCCAGTCCATAGTCTTTTAAATCAAACTCTTTGGAAAGTTCATCTTTGAAAGATTGTATGAGACCTTTATTGCGTGAAACTATCAGTAAATCATCAACATAAACCGCTAAGTATATAGACGTATCAATGGAGTTACCGTCCAAATAGTAGAGACACGGTTCCTTCAAAGACTTCATTGACTTCAATTTATTGTCAAGTCTTTTGTTCCATTGACGTCCAGCTTGTTTCAAGCCATACAGTGATTTCTTCAATCGACATACATCTCCACCTGTCTTCAGATCATTTAACATCTTACGAGCCTGCTCTTTTAAGCTTTCGTCTCTTTCTTCTTTAATAATTCTACCTAAGCACTCTGTCAACAATTCTGGAACTTCCATATAAATTTCCTCGTCAAGATATCCATTCAGATATGCAGTATTGATATCCAACTGGTGTATCTCCATGTCTAATTCAACCGCGAGCGCTGTAAGCAGTCTTATCGTGTCTAGTCGGACGACAGGTGAAAAAGTGTTTCGGTAATCGATGCCATATCGTTGACTGTAGCCCTTGGCTACCAACCGTGCTTTCTTCTTCTCGGTTTTGTCAACGTTAAGCTTCGTTGTCAATACATATCGGCATCCTACCGCTTTTCGATTTCTCGGCTTTTGAACAATTTCCCATGTTTCATTATTTACAAGACTTTTGACCTCAGACAATATTGCTTCCTCCCATAGAGCACGTTCAGCGCTACTTAGGGCATCCCCTAAGGAAGTTTCCACAGTCAACGCAACATCCTCAGGTAAAGTTTCTTCTGCACGGCTATTATTATCATTGGGTATCATTTTATAGACCTTCTTAGGTCGGCCAACTTGGTCTTTCTGAAGTTTTGGTCTTCCGGGACCTCTCTTATACGTTACCTCTGTATCAGCTTGCGCTATTTCACTATCTTCCTCATGACATAGAGAAGGTGAACCAAGGGGTGAATCAGTCGTCTCCACGATCATTTCTCGAGTTCCTGAATAAGATGTACTTGGTATTACGTCCACCTCTACATATTTCGGCTTCGGTGTATCAACATCAGCAGAAAATTGATCTAGCTGAAAAGGATCATGAGTAATTGCCGATTTCCTGTCATCATTAGTATCGAGCCTCGTCTTGCAGAATTTCACATCCCTAGCTATAATGGTTTTATGGTCTACTGGTATCCATACCTTATATCCCTTTTGGTTCATTGGATATCCAATAAATATTCCATTGACACTTCTGGCAGCAAATTTGTCCTTGGTTGGATTCTTGTCTAGAACATAAACTTCAGCTCCAAACTTCTGAAGATACTCAATCTTCACTGGAGAGCCAAACCACTTCTCGTACGGAATTGTACCACCCAAACTACTCGTGGGACAACGATTCCTAATATGACATGCCACCAATACAGCATCTCCCCAAAAACCTGCTGAGAGATTAGATGAAAGTAACATACACCTAGCCATTTCAACTAATGTCCTGTTCATTCGTTCTGCTACGCCATTCTGCTGTGGGGTTTGAGGTATAGTCAGTCTTCTTATTATCCCCTCTTGTTTCAGGAATTGATCAAACTTATTATTACAGTATTCTCCACCGTTATCAGTTTGTAAATACTTTATTCTCTTAGCGGTAAGGTTCTCAACATAGCTCTTGTATTCTTTGAAACATTCCAGAACACCACTCTTACTCTTCAGTAAGTAAACTTCGCACCATCTAGTACAATCGTCAATAAACGTGACAAAATATTTTGCACCACCGACAGTTTCATTTCGAATTGGCCCAACTACATCGGAATGGATGATGGACAGTTTTTCGTCACATGGTCCACTCGACTTGGAAAATGGGAAAGAAGTCATCTTACCCTGCACACAATACTTACAGTCGTATAAAATATTTATATTTGACATATCAACTTTAATGCCCACATGACCTAATACTTTTATTAAATCCTTCACATTTAAGTGACCTAAACGTTCGTGCCAGGATAGTAAATCGTTCTTAGTTTCGGAAATCGCAGAAACAGAAGCATGGCCCTCCCGCATATAATAAAGGTTGTTTTTTCGATCTGCTATGAACTTAATATTCCCTTCAGAATCGGTTACATAAGCTGAATCTTTCTTAAAAGTTACATTAAAACCTTTGCTTGTAATTTTAGATACGGAAATTAAGTTGCATCGCAAATCGGGAACATATAAAGTGTCTGATAGTTTTATCGGAACCTCCCCATTCAAACTCACAGTTCCTTTACCTTTTGCAAATGTACTCACATTGGTGGCCAAACTTAACTTACTACTGCAATTTGTCAAGGTGTCAAATTTTCCTTTCGATCTACAAAGGTGCGATGTACACCCACTATCTATGAGCCAGTTTCCTCCACATCCCGAACCAATCACTCCGTTACACTCTGAAACAGATAGAACACATGAGTTAAAATTCTCACTAGCACCTAACTCACTAACACATTTTGAGTCCTGCCTTGTTCCTTTACACGGGCAGTCCGGAAGCTTTATGCCCTTGTTTATGACATCTGTAACATTTAAATTTAAACGCTTGATCCGGTTTATAATTCTGCGGATTTTTAGATGTAGAACTCCTAGCTCCTAGCGTGGTTTTTCTCCTAGCGAACATTGCTGACGACCCCCTCTCTGTCTCCTTCCTTTGCTGTCGCCTAGAGGCATCTTCTTCAAGAATTTTAACTTTTAAAGAATTCGGGTCTGGCAATGAATCTCTAGTCTCCATCGCACATCTAAAGTTCTCATAACTTGGGGGCAGACTATAGAGTAAAATAATAGATGCAAGATCATTATTTATATTTATGTCCATGTCTAGTAACTTTTCTTTGGCTTCAAAGAAGCTTAACAGATATTCACGCATGTCGTCCTCCTCACACATCTTGTGTAATATGAGCTGCTTTAACAGTGTCGCTTTCTTAGCGGGACCCGAAGACGCGAAGATGCTTTCTAATTTGAACCAACATTCTCGCGACGTACTCGTCCCCTTAATGTGTCGTAGCTCACCTGGACTAATTGAGAGAATAATCTCCGCTCTCGCCTTTGCATCCGCCGCTTCCCAAAGCAACGCCTCTGCTGGCTCAGCTGGCTTCTTAATGCTACCATCCACATAGCCCCACACATCGCTCTTAATCAATAGAGCATGGGCCTGGATTCGCCATGAGTCGTAATTATCACGGCTTAATAATTCTATCCGCACACTCGCCATCGTTACTAGGTTAAGCACTCTAGTTCCCCCTTTTTTTATTAATTTACTGGACTATGACTGGGCCCATAACCTTTGTTGGGTTATAAGTGTGCAGCGGTAGTCGCGTGCAGCAGTCCAGTTTTATTAATGAATTGACAATATAAAAACATAACAAGACCATAGCAACGCCAACTTTAAATAACGAACTATGACGATATAATATGTATGCAAATTACCAAAGAGTTTCCTCTAATACATTTTAAAACCAATTTCTACATTAATATTCCAACATCTAAAATGTAAGTAGATATACATATGAGACGATCGCGCCCTAGTTAAACATTTTATACGAATATAACCCAACATGACGGAGAACCGTACTTCGTAAACATAAACTGACTGGAAAGAGTGATGGAACAATGTGAAATTCTAGATCCTGTAAGCTTACCATGTATATTTAATAGCGATTTCAATAATTGACTCGATAATCAATTAACTATTGTATGTAGTAGGTAAGGAACCCAAATGTCTTTTCTCAATACAAATCCAAAATTCGCCAGTTTTATAATAGTTGTGGCGCTGCATGCCATCGTATATTAGGAATTATGTGGTGAAATATTAAAATCGAAATAAATTTTAATATTAATTCAATATAAAAAATTGAAGTTACGCGGTAGACTTGCTGCTCCTTTACGCGAGTATCATACATATAAAAGAACTTAGTCGAATTATAAATGCGTTTCACTCACGCGGGTCAAATTAACATATGCTGTAAACTCATAGTTATGTAATTTTAAATTAAAAGCAAATTATTGTGAATGTGTGAGACCTTTAATCCGGTACAGTGTATTTTTTAAATTTAAATGTAGTGAAAATTTCGTAATTCCGTGGTTACGTTGTCTTTATGTAGGTAGGTATATTAAAAAATATGTTATTTACGTATCTACTAGGAGATTTTTAGGCCATTTTCAAATTCAAAATCTAAGTATATAATATAGAACAATTTGGTATACTTGCTTGAATTGGTTCAATTATTCTTTGACATATTAATTAAGTATTTTTCCGTACTTAGACGTATCTGTATTCTGTACCGTAAGTGCCGTCATGGAAAAGGTATTTAATGGGTATTTAGTACAGATTTTATAAGACAAATTCGCAAGGATTTTAGTAGGCAATATTTAATTACTAATTAGCTTATCTAGTGTCTATTTCATTAGATTTAATTCCTACTTTTACGATAAATTCGTAAAATATAAGAGTTAGGCCTAAGTACTTCAGTAGAAGTCTAGCTATAGATAGCTATATAGTAGAAGTCTAGATAACTTAAATTTTTATCTAAGTACTTATAGCTTCGATAACAGCTGCGTTTATTGAAAACATGTTGGTTTATTCCATTTTGACATTGTCTTAGATTTCGGATGTTTTATAAAGTAGAAGATTTTTTCATAAATAAGACTACTAAATACTTTACCAATTAGATTACTTGTTATCTTCATACAAGTTCCAGTCACTTTGATCTGATCCAGTGTATCCATTTTCTTTCAAGCAAATACTTGAACTACCGTAAAATTTAACGCAATTCTTATGCCCTTTTTATAATAATAATTTATGAAGGCAGTTCATCGCTTCATGAGCGATGTCAGCGGCCGAAGGCTGAGGTAGCCGAGGGTGCTGCGGCAGGCGGGGCGTGGGGCGGGGCAGGGCGCCGCCTCCGGCCCAGCGCGCCCGCCACCTCGTGCTCGCCGCTCAGTCGCTGCCGCGTCGCTGTGTTGTGTGCACGTTGTTGTCGTTTCATCTCGCGACTTCTCGATTCTGCCAGAAGCCAACGGAGGCGCGGTTCGCATCTTACCGGGCAGCATTAGAGTCCGTTATTTTCTAATACTGTCAGGTAAAGATGTCGTCCGCCCTCCAATTTCAACGATGTCTCCTCAACGATAGTCAAGTGGAACCGGTTAGACTCCAACGGTCTTGAGACCGCGTGGTCCCTGATTCTGCTGCTGGTCCGAGCTGCTGCGGCTGCAGGTAGGCCCGGCGCCGCGGGCTTCTAGCTCCGGCGCCCGCGTGTCTTGCCACGTCCTACGTACACTACCAACGCCAACGTGCTGTCATGCGACCGCATAGTGACGAGTTTAGCACATGTATTAATGTTTCAAATCAAAAAGTGGATCTGCACCATGTAAAAAGATAGATTAGAGACAAGGAGTTGACGTTTTAATGTTTTCATGATTTCGTATTTGGTAATTCGATGAAGAAGAACACATTTCACCCATTCATTTTTCATGTGGTGGATGACAAAACTTAATTTCTAGTTAATTTGTTCATTTATAATTAATTATTATAGTAACTATAAATTATGTTTATTAAATTATAAGCGTGTTGGATCGTCATAAATACGTTAATAATTAATCATGTTGATGGTATCGTGCGTGTCGTGTGGCGCGGGCTTGCGGGGCGCGGGGAGCGGTGAGGGCGAAGGCCCCGCGCTGCTCACTCAACTAATTAAAATACTTTGCACTGAGCAATCGGCAAGCAATAATAATAAGAGACGGTATGAAATATTGAACTCGGGCCCTTCAAGTGATGAAAACATTAGGAAAATCTAACTATTATCTATAAAATTAAACTATTATCTATTTTATGATAAAATTTCGAATTAATTAAATTTAAATCCAATAATAAGTTAATAACTATATACTAAGTCCAAACATTGCGTTTGTGTGTCTATTAATGCAAAATTTCTAATAGATGGTGTGTCCTTTTTGGTAGTCTGTACCATCAACAATAATTTACTGGCTCATCATTTATTAGGATACCACAAGCGCTTCCCATGGAGGTGGCCTGTCGATGGGTTCTCCAAACGATGTTAAATTCAAGATGACCCCTAATTATAGCATTCGAGAAGCATTGCATTATTCATCAGTATGTGGAAAGTTTTGACTTCGAATAAGAAAATGTGGGTCAAGGCCCGAGGCTCAGTGGTTTTTGTAGTGAAGCTGATTTCAGATCATTTAAATTCAACCTTGTGTTGCTTTAATTGCTTATTATATCCGCCGTGGCTCGCGGGCTGGTGCAAGGCGAATAAATAATAAGACGGCAGATAAGGTGCTATCGGTAGGTGTCGAGGGTCAAGTTATCGGAGTTCAGGCGGCGAGGGCCACGCCGCGGCCGCGTGGGCCCGCGAGATCGGTGAAAGCTGTACCCCATTAATTGTTCAGGTGGATTCCGCTTTCAAATCGAATTCTTATCGAGGCGGGAGTGTCGCCACGGCGACCGGTTCTTAATTTCCTATAGGTGCGCGGGACACGCGGTATGCATCTATTTCGGGAGTCGTTGACCGCGGGTTTGGCACTGCGGCCGGTTTTATTCTGTCGAGCATCGTTCCGGGAGCATCGCGGGCCTGACTCGGCCACGCGGGAATTTCAGGCGATGACGTCACTATGTGTCCCCACACCGGGGCATAAATGATCGATACAACAATATCATAAGTTTTTGTAAGGGCCGCTAGTCCTAAGTCCTCGAACCGCTATCCCAGCAGCAGGGCTGCGCTATTTATACCGGTGCCAGCGTCCGCGCGTCGCGTCTCATACAATGTTGTTCATGTCCCTGCAAATTCTTGACAAAACTCCAACACTCCACGCTGGTGTTTAATGATCCATAAACGGCATATCTACATAAAAAATCATTTCTTCCTTGGCAATATGAAAGTCCGTACAAAAATGATAACAAAAAAATAACACGAAAGTCATTATGAAACGAAGTGAATCAGTCCAATGTGAAACAAGTCTAACCAGTAGCTACCGGCATCGAGCAGAAACAATTCGCTGAAAACATATGGTTCAAAACTTTTACACAAGTTAGTTAACTGTAAATCGTTAATTCAATTGAATATAAAGAGCCTGGCAATAACAACAGTTTTGTAAAAGTAAAGAACGTGGTTTTATGACGTTAACGCGGTGTTGTGATTCTGATAAAAATCATACGTTTTAAATGCTTTATTAAACAAAATACCTACGATTTTTTTTTGTTCTACTTAAAAATAACTTAATAAATATTTTTTAATGTATGAAATACCACACCTTTTTTCTTAAAAGTTGTTCCACATAGTCTTCTCTATTTATGTTCACAATAATTATAAGTTACCATATTTTTTAAATTAGTTACTTTAAAATGTTTGCATACAATCCTATCAAATAAAAATTATATGTCCATTCAAGAATTTCTCCATTACTTGTTAGGAACCTGTTTTTCAGATAAAAAACTTAATGTTTTATTTATATGGATGGCTATTAGTTAATAACTTTTTTATGAGATTTTAACGACAAGTTTAAAAAGAATGAATTTTATAATAGTGCAGTTGTTCACAAACACGTAGTTCCACCGTTCCACCTTATCTTGTGCTCTAGAAACTCGTTTTCAACATATGATAATGACACTACTTTATTGAAATGTGAAATCGCGATACACGAATTTATCCAAATTAAATGTGAGTCTTATTCATAACGCTTTAAGTTATATAATTAACGGTTAACGGTAGTTTCAAACTTAAAAAAATCCTGTAAATATGTGTATAACGTAGGAGTAGTAGAGTAGAGAGACAAAAATACTGTTTAGTAATAATTGCATTAGAGGAAATAGGTGTAGTTCGTCACGACAACGCACTACTGTGTCCGCCGATAGCTCGTTATCACGTCGCTGTGTGTCACGTTCATGCCATGCTTATAGTATATTTGGAATGTACACATAAATAAAGTCTAAGTTCGAGCGTGAAACATCGTTACACGTCGATTAACGTTCCTGCAATTAATCCCGATCTACTCGATTTCATATTCTGTACTTAATATCGTAATGCTACCGGTTCTGAGACGTAACGACCGACGACTACTGACTGCGCTGTCTGCCTCAACATTACGTGCTTTATAACGAATGTTACATATCGTGTGTGTAAGAATGTTTTGTAATCGGTGTGAGTTCGAGTTGTGAGTAAATGCACAAAGAATGAGCGAATCAAAGACTCATATTATTATTAGTTTAAGGTTAAAGGCACCGTTGAAAGAAATAGATACAGATATCGTTATGATGTGGTTATCGACTGCGAGCATAGCACAGTGCGTGTGAAGCGGCGACCCGTCCGACCTGTCCCCAATCACCGACGGCTTCGATACATGTATTTACATTTTTAAGCCGCCTCACCTTACTTGACCGCTTGCTGCCTCAGCCGCGTTATAACTTATCTACAGCTATAAGACGATTGGTCGAACCAGAAATCGGCGCTAAGACTGTCTGTAGACAACGCACCTACGAGTATTTTATCTTTTCATACAACTGATCAGCCAGTTATAATTTACAAGTAAATATCATAAACACTAATGTGACAGGTAGATCATCTTTTGAGACTGATAGTTATAACCCTCCGTGACATTTGAGGTTAAAAGCATTGTAATAAATGCTAGAACTGAAAAATGCGGGTAGTTATAGAATAAAGCAAGCCGATAAAATTTTAGAGAATTTGTGAAAAAACGTCATGTATTTTATCAACTTTTATAAATACAAATTACATTTGATATTAATTATCAGAGATTACTTCACGCATTGATAACACATTTAGGTACGAAAATATAATGATTACATAGATATTATGTGACGGAAGAAATATGAGTTTATTAAGACAGTTCCTCACATAAAGGAAGGAAAACTGCAATCATTCTGAGTATAAGCTCGACTCTAACCAATATTATATTTATAGTGTTTAAAGTTGTAGCAATCAGGCTTTTGAAGAGGCATTTGTTGGGTCTAACCACAAATAGAATGATTGACGGTTGCTAAAGCTTTTAAATTTTTTTATGTAGGTAATAACGGTGTAACATAGGCAAAGCTCAGAACGGTCTTGTCGGCCTACGCGGACACATAACGAGAGTCGCATATCTTGTATGCAAATGTTCATTTTATTACAATTTATAAAATAAAAATAACTCCCACCGGAGCCCGGTCATTGACCCGTGCCGCCGTTCAACTGTCGTCTCTCTAGGGACAGCTATGTCTAACCCATATATAACCACATTATTATCAACATAAGCATTTTCGGTTGAACAACACGCTATAGAATCGATTTACTTCGAAGTTGATTTTTTTTGAGATATATACATGTAATATGAAACACTACGATTGATTATAATTGAATTAATTCCCGTAAGTAGGTATTTGTGTTTTCTAATATTTTCTTTAGAAATATTTTTTGTTACTTTTTGTCCTATACCAATTTTATTAACATCTACTTATATCATAATTACGTTTTTATTTATATATTAAGTAAAAAATGGACACAATTCTTCTTTCTCATCTACAATACTTTAGATTTTAAAACGTCAACCATAAAATCGTAGAAATTAAATAACCATTTAATTAGTTAACTCGAACAGGCTTTATAAACCGAGAAAAGCCTTCAATGTCTCATAGCCTCATAAAATAAAGGTACAGTATTGAGCGCCTTCAAAAGACATCAACGACCACGCACTTCGCACACTACAGCCTTAATATCATGCTTTAAAATATTAATCATTTATAACTTCCCATTTTTGGATCTTATTTCAATACAAACATAACTTAATTTAATTCAGTGAACTATGAATTTAAGCCTAATAACACTTAGGACTGAAAATGACTGAACATTGTAACAAAATAAATTCTAGTATTGAGAACCAATATTTATACCTTGAGAATATTTTCAATAAGTGTCTGTAATCTACTACACGAGTTTATATTATTTATTTATGCCAACAGTTGAAATTTTAACAAATAAGTGCGATTTTTGGGTGTTAATTAAAGTGGTAAAATAAGGAGTGGATAGTAAAACTCGTTATAATCAAATTAAAAGCATGAATTTATGCGTGTGCCAAGTCATCAGCCGAATCATCTAATTAAGGGCTTAATATAGATAACCATTTTATTTAGATATTATATTACTTCTCTTATTTTATTGATTCTAACATAAACAGCGTGCTGATGATGATGGGTCTGTCCAGCGGGGATTCTCAGTAAGAGATGTGGTGTAAGCACGCAATAATTTTGTTATTAGGATTTCTATCAAAGTAAATAAATAACATGCTAGCAGGCAAGTTACTAACAGAAAGGGTCTGTTTGAGAAGTAATATCGTGCATAATTCGATTCACATGTGTGCCTATAATTGTTGATAGTTACAGATTTATTAATAATGAGCTGACCCAAAATAAGTCAGTGTAGCCAAGTTCTGGACTTAACTTTTAAAGTATTCATTGACTTGACAATTGATGACTTCATACTTCAATTTGAAGTTTCCGGTGCTTATGGATATGAATATCATAAGAAACTTCTCAACATTGTTTTTTTGTAGCATGAGTTCACGAGTTTTGAGCTTAGCAACACTTTTACATTTTTATGTAAGTAATAATAGCTGATTCTACGACGGTTAGGGATGTTTCAAGTTAGCGTGTAGAGCTGCGTGCACTGGTCTACGCAAGGTGCGGCGCTGCGCAGACGCCGGCGGTAAATGTCACGAAGAGGTCGCTGTACTGCGCACCTGCCTGTCTGCTGTTCCAGGCTTGCTGCCTGCTAGTCACTACCTATGTGCTACAAGGTCTGTATTATTTTATATACCAAACCCACACATAAGTAAAAAAACAAATGAAGAGAGATTTCGTTGTTAATGATTATTAATATAACATACAGACATATTATTATAATGATGAATACATGTTTTTATTAGGAACTATAAATAACAATAGTAATTTTATTGTAATAAAGATTACCATTTCATTTAAAGTTTAAAGATAAGATTGGTTTAGATTGTAATGTTTTCAATTAGTATTGTATATACATAAATGTGAAAAAAAAATGTTTGTGTACTTATGTACACGCGTCAGAAGTTATACTTCTTTGGCGTAACATGATAAAAAAAATATCTTTCGCCTTATTCTACGTTTGTAGAAAAAACGACACTAACAATAGAAACAATTTACTCTCATCATTTTTCCCGAACGCGCCAAAAGAAGTATAACTTCAAAAAAAACTAAAATGTTGACTATAGCTAACTTCAGGGTGTCGGCTTTTGTGACGGTTTGCGCGCGCATCGTAAAAATTTACTCTCATAATTTTTCCCTAACGCGCGAAAAGAAGTATAACTTCAAAAATGTATATAAGTTATTAAGATATAAATTCCTTGGTCAACAATTCAGTAGTGAGAAGGTGCGAATAGTGTGGCAGCTATCGCACGGTAGCCGCTTATCGCGATAATAGATTTTGGTCAAAGACCGAGAGCCTTTGATAAAAATAAATACTAAAATATGTACGGTATAATTACATATCTTTAATATGTTATAATCATATATACATATGTATATATGTGATAAATGACTTGCAATTATTAACAAAATTAAATAACGTTGTGCAGTGTTAAAACATTAATATTGTTTTCTAATAATACAGCCAAAGG